CGAGGCAGGCTGAGGCTCAGGCTGAAACTGAGGCAGGCTGAGGCATCCGTAGGAATCCATAGGAATTTTCAGAAATCCCTAGGAATCCTTAGGAATCCGTAGGCATCCTTATGAATCCGTAGACATAGTTAAGCATCCTCAGGAATCCTTAGGAATCCTTAGGATTCCTCAGGAATCCTTCGGAATCCCTAGAAATCCCTAGGAATCAGGATTCCTAAGGATTCCGAAGGTTTCCTGAGGATTCCGATGGATTCCTAAAGATGCCTAAGGAGTCCTTAGGAATCCCTCGGAATCCTTAGGATTCCATTGGATCCTAAGGCCGTTGCCACTGCGACTGTCATTGCGAATGCGACTGCGACTGCGAGAACAGCAGAATTCTACAACTGGATTCTCACCTGCATCTGAAGGGGAATGCTTCCAGATATGCTTATACACATCGCTGATAGGTTGCTTTGCTGGGATAAATGATGTTTATGTCATTTTTCGTTCCCCTGGGAATACAGGTCTCGGGGATGTGGTCGACAGATTTGGGTGCCCACGTCGTGAAACGAACACGACGTCAGAGGTATCGGAAAGAGGAGGATGAGGAGCAACAGCAGCAGGAAGAAACACCAGCGAGAGGGGAATCCAACTCACGCAGGGCGGCATTGGCCAACTGGGTGCTGTCGGGGATTCTGCTCACTCGGGAGCGGGGCTTCGGACGTTTCCGCGCCTGCCGATGCCAAGCATAACGAGGATGATGGCGACGACGAGGATAAGACGCTGATGCCGACCAAGCGGGTTGCGGATACTGAGCTTAGCTGCCAGAGGCACGACACAACCAACGCCAAAGTTGACCGCGCGCGAACCCCAACACCGTCAAACGAGGTTACAGTCAAAAACCCGAATGAGGACGCGCGGTAAGGACGCAAGACCCTTGGAAGCCGAAGTTGGGATTTTTTGGGGCGGCGGACGACGAAAACCTCAAGGACGCAAGAGCAAGGAAGAGCAAGGACGCAAGGGTACCCTGAGCAAAGTCGCGCGTCCTTCTTAGGGTTTTTCACTGTAGGCATGCTGGCTGACACGTGCGGAACAAGTGCTGCAGGCCCGACCATATTCAGGATCAATTTTATAGCAACCTGGTCGCCTCAATCTTTTAGGTCGGAATGTGTCACACGCCCGTGGCGCAAAAAAAACAAATCATCGAGACATGCCTTGTCGATGCCCTCTCCCAACCGGCTGCTGAAGGCAGTCCCCACGCTGGGTCAGATGGGCCCGCGGCAAAGTTCTCTGCGCTTTGGTTTGGGTGGGCGGAGCGGGTGGAAATTTCACGACGAAGCCGACGATAGCGCCAACGACGATCGCGCTTCCCCCCTGATTGCAACGAGGTGCAGTCAGATACCTTCTTCCCTGCCCTTTGATGAGTAACCCAAAAAGAACCGAACCCTTCGGGAGGGGACCCATGTTGGTGGAGCTAGATCAACGGGAGGCATGGCGACATGCGGTATAACTCGCAGCACGCAATCTGAAAACATAGCAGCCTGCACCGGGGCCATTCGGCCTGATCGGGAGCGGCAAAGAGGGGGGCGTCCAAGAGGGGGGGGTGCAAATCATGACCGGCGGCATGTGCGCGGCCCAGCGGGGGGGGCCAGGGACATAATGAAATAAGAAGAGGCGCCATGACATCTGGGGAAATATCATGGCCCCCGCCATGATATCCACCCCCCTCTTTTCCGCCCCCGACCTGAGGGAGATCGGCCTTGAGGAGAACGGGTCCGGGACCCCACGGCATCTCCGCGCGGCCGGCCCCTCCCGAGCAGCTCTGAAGGTGACGCTCCCGGGGCCCCGGAGAGGGCCGCGAGAGCCCGGTGCCCGGCGAACCACGTCGGGACCTTCGCCGCCCCAGTACGCAACACGCGACGCGTGGCGCAGTGATACGGAGCTCGACACGTATACTCAAACGTGCGCATCAGAGTAGTTACAGGGCAATTTTCAATACATAGGATTTCTAAACATATAGTTTTTGTTTTTACTGCACGATTCATTTATGAATAAATTTATGCATGAACTCATCGATGTTTTATATACTAGATCCCTGCGTTTTTAAGACATGCTCCGCACGCGGAGCATGCATCAATTATCCCGGCAAAGCAACCTAACAGCGATGTGTAGGAGCATATCTGGAAGCATTCCCCTTAAGATTCAGATGATAATCACGTTGTAGAATTCTGCTGTTCTCGCAGTCGTAGTCGCATTCGCGATGACAGTCGCAGTGGCAACGGCAGTCGAAGTCACAGCCTCAGCCTCAGCCTGCCTCAGCCTCAGCCTCAGCCAGCCTCAGCCTCAGCCTGCCTCAGCCTCAGCCTCAGCCTGCCTCAGCCTCAGCCTCAGCCTGCCTCAGCCTCAGCCTCAGCCTGCTGCATCAGCCTCAGCCTCAGCCTCAGCCTGCCTCAGCATCAGCCTGCCTCAGCCTCAGCCTCAGCCTGCCTCAGCCTCAGCCTCAGCCTGCTTCAGCCTCAGCCTCAGTCTGCCTTCAGCCTCGGCCTCAGCCTCAGCCTGCCTCAGCCTCAGCCTCAGGCTCAGCCTGCCTCAGCATCAGCCTGCCTCAGCCTCAGCCTCAGCCTGCCTCAGCCTCAGCCTCAGCCTGCTTCAGCCTCAGCCTCAGTCAGCCTTCAGCCTCGGCCTCAGCCTCAGCCTGCCTCAGCCTCAGCCTGCATCAGCCTCAGCCTCAGCCTCAGCCTGCCTCAGCATCAGCCTGCCTCAGCCTCAGCCTCAGCCTGCCTCAGCCTCAGCCTCAGCCTGCTTCAGCCTCAGCCACAGCCTGCCTTCAGCCTCGGCCTCCGCCTCAGCCTGCCTCAGCCTCAGCCTGCATCAGCCTCAGCCTCAGCCTCAGCCTCAGCCTCAGCCTCAGCCTGCCTGCAGCCTCAGCATCAGCTGCTCAGCCTCAGGCCACAGCCTGCCTTCAGCCTCGCCATCCGCTCTGCTTCAGCCTTGGGGGGGACTCCCAGCCTCAGGCCTGCCTCAGCCTCAGCCTGCATCAGCCTCCAGCTCAGCCTCAGCCGCTTAGGCCTCAGCCTACCTCCGCCTCAACCTCAGCTGCTTCTGCCTCTCAGCCTCAGCCTTGCTTCAGCCTAGCCTCAATCTGCCCTTCCAGCCTGGCCTAGCTCCAGCGGCTCAGCTTGTGCCTCTGCTCAGCCTCAGCCCAGCTCAGCCTGCTCCTGCACCAGCTGCCTCAGCTCTGCGATGCTCAGCCTGCCTCAGCCTCAGCCTGCATCAGCCTCAGCCTCAGCCTCAGCCTGCCTCAGCATCAGCTTGCTTCAGCCTCAGCCTCAGCCTGCCTCAGCCTCAGCCTCAGCCTGCTTCAGCCTCAGCCTCAGTCTGCCTTCAGCCTCGGCCTCAGCCTCAGCCTGCCTCAGCCTCAGCCTGCATCAGCCTCAGCCTCAGCCTGCCTCAGCATCAGCCTGCCTTCAGCCTCAGCCTCAGCCTGCCTCAGCCTCAGCCTCAGCCTGCTTCAGCCTCAGCCTCAGTCTGCCTTCAGCCTCGGCCTCAGCCTCAGCCTGCCTCAGCCTCAGCCTGCATCAGCCTCAGCCTCAGCCTCAGCCTGCCTCAGCATCAGCCTGCCTCAGCAGCCTTCAAAACTGTGGCCCGGGAATTGAGTTCTGGGAACTCGAAGAACACGAAGTGGCCTACAGTTGGCTCTGGGCATTCAAAATCATGCCAGGAATGGAGTTCTGGGAACTCGAAGACCACGAAGTGGCCTACAGTTGGCTCCGGGCATTCAAAATCATGCCCAGGAATGGAGTTCTGGGAACTCGAAGACCACGAAGTGGCCTACAATTGGCTCCGGGCATTCAAAATCATGCCCAGGAATGGAGTTCTGGGAACTCGAAGAACACGAAGTGGCCTACAGTTGGCTCCGGGCATTCAAAATCATGCCCAGGAATGGAGTTCTGGGAACTCGAAGACCACGCACGAAGAGCGTTACTGTTGGCTAAAAAAGAATCCCCGGCATCCTCCCCCGGATCACGCCCAGACCCCTCTGGGGCGTCAAGATGCTCTCTCTTGACCCTACTAGAAACCTATCAGTCTTCGCTGTCAGGTAATAACCCGGGAATCTCAGCCTGCCTCAGCATCGGCCTGCCTCAGCGTGTGCAGCCTTAGTCTGCCTTCAGCCTCGGCCTCAGCCTCAGCCTGCATCAGCCTCAGCCTGCATCAGCCTCAGCCTCAGCCTCAGCCTGCCTCAGCATCAGCCTGCCTCAGCGTCTGCCTCAGCCTGCCTCAGCCTCAGCCTCAGCCTCAACCTCAGCCTCAACCTCAGCCTGCTTCAGCCTCAGCCTGCGTCAGCCTCGGCCTCAGCCTCAGCCTGCATCAGCCTCAGCCTGCATCAGCCTCAGCCTCAGCCTGCCTCAACCTCAGCCTCAGCCTCAGCTTGAGCCTGCCTCAGCCTCAGCCTCAGCCTCAGCCTGCCTCAGCCTCAGCCTCAGCCTCAGCCTCAGCGGTGGATTCCCCATAGTCACTGGCGGCGCTGGGGGCCTCAGCATCAACCTCAGTGGTGGATTCCCCATAGTCACTGGCGGCGCTGGGGGCCTCAGCCTCAGCCCCAGTGGTGCGTTCCCCATAGTCACTGGCGGCGCTGGGGGCCTCAGCCTCAGCCTCAGTGGTGCATTCCCCATAGTCACTGGCGGCGCTGTGGGCCTCAGCCTCAGCCTCAGTGGTGCGTTCCCCATAGTCACTGGCGGATCCGCGGATTCTCCCCGGATCCTGCCCGGACCCCCCTGGGGAGTCATGATGCTTTCTTTCGAGACCATTAGAAACCTATCAGTCTTCGCTGTTAGGTAAAAACGGCACTGTGACGTCCGGACCCGCTCCCCCCCACCGCTGCAGAGCGCAGGCCGCGCCTCGCTCGCGGGGCGCTCGCCTCCGCCGGCGGCGCACGTGGACATGGCCCGCATCCGGGCGCTGGCGCGCCAACGGTACCTGGAGGCGAGCTCGGTTTTGCGAAGCTCGCCATCATCTGAACAGGAGAGTCCCAAATCGGCGGTGAACAAACCTCCCTTTAGCAAACCTCCCCTTAATGAGAACGGCCTGGGACCGAATCCGACGGACCTGGACCCGCAAAAATGACGGCCGCGACGCCCTCTCGCGAACCGAAAACGGCCAATTCCTTAATCGACGTGTCAGGGTAGGAGGTCTGTCCACCCCCGACAAAAGGAGTCGATGAGTCGGATCGGCGGTCGACACGACTCGAATCGGCGTGCCTCGGCAGCCGAGTCGGGAGAGACGTCGAATCGGCGGAGATCGGCAGGCAAGAAAATCGGGCCTCCATCGAGAAGTCGGAGCCCGAATCGGAGTCCGGAGTCGAATCGGATCGGAATCGGAATCGGAAGCCATCGAAATCGAATCGCATCGGATCGGAGGATCGAAATGATAACCCTGCCTTAGTGCCCGCCCTGGGTCGGTTTTGGCTGCCTTCGCACCTTGCGCCTCAATAGTTGCTCGGGCATCCTCGCGCGGACTGCCCTCGAAGCTTGTTGCTGGAGGAACAGAGCGGACGAGGGCGGAGGAGGAGGAGGAGGAGAAGGAGGAGGAGGATGAGGAGGAGGAGGAGGGGGAGGAGGGACGAGGAGGGCGGACGAGGGAGGAGGACGAGGGAGGAGGAGGAGGAGGAGGAGGAGGAGGCGGCAGCGGCGAAGCGATATCGGACCGAAAGTCTCCAGCCTGAGAGACTACATAGCGAATACGCGGTGCAACATTCAGCTATATACGATCTATCGTGCGCTTAGTAAGCGGATCATGGAAAGGCCCACCCCACGTGGGAGCCCCGAGTTGTCCTCGCTCGACCAGGAGGCACAACATCGAGACGAGTACACAGCACAAGGATCGGTCCTACGAAACCAGATCCAGGAACGAAAGAACTCGAGACGGCGAAGCAACGCCGACACGAGCGACCATCAAAACCTTGTCGCATAGGCCACGAGTTCTTTGAAGCCTAGAGATCTCGGTGCCTGAGGAGGAACGGAATAATGACGAGGGCGAGGAGTGGGGGAGGGACAGCAGCGGCGGCAGCAGGGCCTGCCTCCACGAGCGACGCGGGGATCACGGGCCCCCCTCGCGCACGATCCACATCACTCCCAGCGAGTCCAAGTGGTCGACGGTCCACAGCACTCCCGGCGAGTCCAAGGCGTCGCTGATCCACAGCATTCCCAGCGAGTTCGCAAGGTCGCCGATCCACTGCACTCCCAGCGAGTCCAGCTGGTCGCTGATCCACTGCACTCCCAGCGTGTTCAGCAGGCCGCTGACCCACAGCACTCCCAGCGAGCTTAGCAGGTTGCTGATCCACTGCGCTCCCAGCGAGTCCCCCACTCAAGGTGCCCGCGACCCCAGTCGCGGGGAAACCAACACTATTGCACTCAATTCGCACATCAACATCGCCGAAGGTCGGTACCGCAGGAGCCACCTTGCTAGCAAGAGGTACTAAATGACCCTGAGGTGCGTGCCGACGGATTGCTCCGAAGGTCGGTACCCCAGGAGCCACGACCTCAGTAGCGAGTGGCCCTGAGGTGCGTGCCGACGGCGCAATACCTCGAGCCTTACGAGCAGCAGGAAGAGAAGTACCAATAAGGCCCACGTCATTATCATAACCTCGCTCCCGATCCGATACCCGAGTCACCCCCCCCCCCAACCTGGCGCAAGATGCCCGCGCCGTCCAGCGCGTTGCGACGGGGCAAGCGACTGACTGTCCCGCTCACAGGTCCAACTCGTCTAGGGCCATTTGAAGTACTCGTTCGTTGTGCGACCTGGGTGCCAGCCCTGGGCGCAGCGTCGCACCGACGTGCTCCGCGCACGACTGGAAAGTGCGCGTGAGGTTGAGGTCCGAGAAGGTGAACACTTTTTTGCCATCCCTTCTTTGTGGCAGCTGGAAGCGCGAAAGCCTCGGATCAAGAGAGCCATCTCGGACATGGCCGTGATCGCATCCAACTTGAGCTTCTGTTCGGCCCACTCCTTGGCATTGCGTGCTCCCACCGACTCCTTCGCATCCGTCAGTAGCTGCGGCGCCACTGGGAAGATCTGCGCGCACGCTGGTCCCATCACAACCTCTGGCAGTGGATTGTGCTCTGGCGACCTCTGATGAAGGTCGCGGAGGCAAGCGGCCCCGGTCGCATGCGCGCGACCGCCCCGGAAGGCAGTCTGCACCAGGGGGGCGTCTTCGTCCATCGTCATCGCGACGAAGTCGGCAGCCATCAATTGACGTATCATGAAAGAGTTTCCGAGTACTGCTTTCATAAGCATCGGCAAAACCTCGGCCTTGAGCTGAGCGTTCATCGACGGCAGCTTGTCGAGCGTGTCCTCTGGGACTCCGTAGCTCCTGCCGAGCTCCGTCTTGAGATCGGCGCCGCCGCTGGCGGGCGCCGCCGCCGCGGGCGCGTCGCCTCCCGCCGAGCCCCGCTGAGGCTGCCGCGGAGCGACGCGCTGAGGGCCCCTGCTGCGCTGAACGCGGCGCCCTCCACGCTGCTGGGAAGCGTGCGCCGAGCCAGATCGGCCTCTGTTCGAGCCTGCCTTGGAGCGGGGCCGTCCTGCCGCGGCCAGCTCCTTCTCGCCCAGCCGAAACATCAGTGCCGAAGGTGATGGGAAGTCTCGGTGCGTGCCCGGTTCAGGGCATCTCGGTCCCGAAACGGCTCCGTACAGCTGCATGCGTAATCAGAGCAATGGTTCCCGAAGATCGAAAACGCCTTAATCTCGGACAAGGGACAGACCAGGCTGGGGGGCTCGACGACACGATGCTGAAACGTCGAGGCTCTGGGGGGGCATCGGGCCCTTCAGGACTGCATGTGCTGCATGTTACTGTGCTATACGGTGTGTGCGAAACGACTGTCGGCAAACTATGCACTTGTTAGTGATGATGATGGAGCGCATAATGGAGCGGCACGAGTGCCCCCCGTTCTTGGAGAAGTGCGGATGCGCAAGAAGGGCCCGACGAGTTTGGAAGACCTGCCCGCGCACCTGCCCCTGGGAGTCCTTCAACTCACACGTCCAACTAGCAGTGGGAGGAGGAGGGACATCATGAGCGCCGTCGGGAACCACAGGGCCAGGAAGAGCGCCATAGAGCCCTGGAGGTGGAGGGATCGCTACCGTCTTTTCAGCTGCCCTCAGTAGCCCAGGGCCTAAGGCCAGGCACTGCTCCTTGAGGCCCCCATCCATGAACAGGGCCTTGACGTTCAACCGAAGTGCGGGTTCCGAAGAGGGGCCCGAGAACAGCCAGCTTTCGAGAAGAGACGCCTCGGACTTCTGGACCAAGTACAGGGTGTCGAACGCGAAGCGTCTGGCATATGGGTTCGACTGCTCCTGAAGAAATCCTTCCTCGCTCAACGTTGGTCCCGCATCGAGTGGCAGTTGTCCGAACAAGGCACCTCGCTCTTGTGAGTGGCGATCGGGAGATCGAATCCACTGCTGGCATTGTGGGAGCCTGCGGACACGTAGCTCCGCACCAGAGGGGGGCAACCCCAACTCGCTTCAGGACTGCGCTATCCGTGAGCGCTCGATACCGGAGGACGGGACGGCCGCGCCCATCGACGACAGGGGCACCTCCTTCATCCACCACCTCCGTCTTCATGCAGGCTCCTCCTCCTAATAGCTTCCTCGCAAAGCCGACCAAGACACGATCCAGACGTAGCGCCTGCGCCTCGGAGAGGATCAGAGTGGTGAGCCCTGGCGGGAGGGCCCCTTGGACCACGGCCCCACAGAAAATCCTCGAGAAGATCCAAACTCTATTCTGGCCCCAGAACCTGACCATGGTGTAGTGCCCCCTCCTGCAAGCCAAGATACGCCGCTCATGTTCGCCCTGGATGCCCCCATTCACAGACGTCTGGACCCCGAGAGCCACGCTATCAACTTGAACCTGGCCAGGCAACTCCACGGTTCCCCCGGGCGCAGCTGTGGCATACGATGGAGTGACGCTGCTTTTTCCCAGGGTTGTGCGCATAGCCGTCGTGCGCCAGCGCATCGTGCAAGTGCCTGTGGGACACCTCGAGAGTATGTCGTGCGTCCAGCGCCGAAGTGACGATGCGCGTCTTGCTGGTGTCGTCCGCGTAGACCCGACATGAAAGATCCACTGGCCGTTGAAGAATAGGAACCCATGCAGTGCAGAGAGCCTCGCTAGGCCGCGCCGTCCGCGACGAAATCGTCGGCGGCGGCGGTGGTACAAGTTCGGCCTCCGTCCACTCAGCATATGTAGTCGGCCGCAGGGGGGCCTCGCCGCGCCACGTCTCCATCCACGTCGGATCCAGCCACGACTGTATAGGGTGGCGGAACGCACGGGCGAAGAGCAGGGCAGCGGGGCTGTCGTCCCATGAAGGCGCCGCAGAGGTTGTGCATAGTCTGCTCTCCGTCGGCGCCGACAATCGTGAACGTGCTGTGCTCATGCCTCTGGTGAAAGTAGCAGTGCGAACCCTCGCGAATCGACGCGTCCACAGTGGCGCGAAGGGGCGAGAAAGCCGCACAGCCGAAAGCGTTGGCCATAGCCTCCATCGCCGTGACCGTTGAAACCCCCAATGACCTCACTCGTCCCAACAATACTTCCTGACAAATCAAGGCGCCTTCCCGATTTCGACAACGGTGATAGCCGTGCTCACGGTCGGGTACTGGGTCCTCAGGGCCACGACGAAGTTGCGCCTTGTACCACAACGCTCCCATGCGACACAGGCCATGGATGCAACGCCTCGCCGAGAAACCCCCCTCCCCATTTCGTTTGCCAAGACCTGTGGCACGCGAGCGGTGCCGAACGATCGGTGCACGCCGAACTCGTCGAATGTGATGAAATGCCTTCTGCAACGCCTTCATACTGAACTCGTTCGAAAGCGACTGCACTACGGCTCCGAGACCCCGTTGGCCCCCCGCCAGACGGCGACGGGGTGCAGACTCAGGGCGAGGCCGCTCAACCTGCGAAGCTTCATCGGCGCCCTCTCCGCCCTCATGCCGACGGCGACGGCGCGGGCGCCTGTGCGAACCATCGAAGCGCCGCATCGGGTCCAAGACAAGCATGATGAGCTCCGACGGGATCGAGCGCAATGGGGCCGCCTTCCGCCGAGGAGCTGTCGCAGCCAACTCCGTCACGGCAGCGAGGTCGCCGCGCACTTTCTCGATGTGCTCAAAGTTGTCGCTGCCGAACATCGCAGGGGCAGGCAGGACCTCCAGCAGCGCCTCTGGGAGTCAGGGAACGGGGCGGGGACAGCCGAGAAACCGCCCTGAGGGCCTGCCTGCTGGAAGTGCGACCTAATCTCGGACATCCGTGGAGCATGCGAGGACGCGAGGTTGTAGCGGCGGCGCTTGGGCCCTCCGCGCTGTCCAGCGAGCAGATGGGCCAACCTCCAGACGTCAGCGTGCCGACGCCCTCGCTAAGCCTGACTCAGCTCGCCAACAAGTTGAGCAGCTGACCCCTCCTGCCGCGATCGTCGGAGCGCCCGAAGTTTCTTAGAGCACCTTGCCAACGTCAGAGCAGGAGCCAAGTCGCCGCGTCCGTCCTCCCGAGCTTGCCGTCTTTCACGAAGAAGTTGGCTGCGGAGTCGACTATACTCCAAGGCCTGTGGATCAGTGAAGGACCCACGCTGGAAGCGTCGCTCCGTTGTGGGGAAAATTGTGGTGACCCACTTCTCCCGCGCACGGGCGGGCTCGTGTAGGAGGAGATCGTGGTAGTCGCCCTGGGCCGAGAACTGCGCTTCGAGGTCTTCCATGAAAGCCTGAACCCCGACGCCTTTCTGCAGGGCCTGTGACAAGCGCTCGAAGTCCCATCGAACCGGGGCAGGGCCCGCAGCACTCAGATCGAAGCTGTAGTCGACTTTCAGGAGCAGAGGTACATGGTCCTGCAAGCCTTGCTTGCCGATCAACTTGAGGCGCATATTGGCCCGTCGCAGAGCAGCACAGTGGGGCACGTCAGACACAAGCGACGAATCGATGGCGATATAATCGATGGTGCTGCTCGCCCAGGCCCCGAAATACGTCGGCCCGATATTGTAATGGGTGGTGATCGCCACCAGACCGTGCCGCTCCATGAGTTCCAGGACTTGATCTGCAGCGTAGTGCTGTTCTGACCGGGCGAAGATTCTAAGCGACTCTGGGAGCACCTGACACTCCACCTGTTCAGGACGAATGCGCAGACCATAGCCATCAATGAGATCGTAGCCCCAAATGACCGTGGAGCGGCGCCGAGCCCATGTCATTGTCTTCTCCATCCATTGGCAGATCGCATCCACCGTCGAGCGGTACCGAGCGTGAGAATTGGGAGCGTGGGATTCACGACACAGTCGGCGTCCGCTCGGTCGTGGTGGATAGTAGGTGATGGGGAAGACCAGGTCGTATCTGCCAGAACGTAGTCGGAAGAGAGCAACCCGTCCTTGCAAGTCGGCAGGGGTTGCGAGCGAATCGATGGCATCTTTACGCTGAATGTTCTCTTGCGAAGGAGGAGTGCGACGCCGCAAGACTTATTCACAGGCTTGCTCACAGCATAACCAGAACGCAGTGCAAAGTGGTGGCGCAGGTTGGTGATGGTAGTAAAACGATCCTCTGGGGCCGGCTGGCCCGTGGACGTGATCGCGATCACGTCTACATGCATAAACTCATCGCTGATGTCGAACAGCCTCGCGTCGTCACAACTCTGCGCATTCCAGTGCACATAGGTAAGCATCAGTGAGAGAAAAAGACATGGATGATATGTACAGGGTGGTGAATGTGACGACGGCGTGTGGGGTGGGCCTGTCGCCAGCGAAGAATATCTTCGGTCAGTCGGGGCTCGCCAGCCCCATGATCTGCAGCTCTCCTGGGCGCGCAGGGGCTAGGAGGAGGAGGAGGAGGAGGAGGAAAAGGAGCGGAAAGGAGGAGCGGGGAGGAGGAGGAACAAGAGGAGCGTGGGGGAGGAGGACGTCGGCTCCGCGCAAGAGGCGGCCCTGGGCCAGAGCGCTACCCGCGGTGGCGGCCTCCTGGGGGGGGGGGGGCACCATGACATCCGAGCGCGCAAGCTGGGGCCTCCTCGGGGACACCTTCTGTGGCGACTCACGGGAACATCCCATGCTACAGCTGGGCTACTACCAGAACGACAAGGAATGAGGAACGAAACCCTTTTTTCCGAATCGACGCTACAACCAACCCGTATACTAAGGACGCACGGCAAGGATGCAAGGGCCCTGGAAGGCCATGTCGACACTGTGCAGGAGGGGCGTGGCCAGCGAAAACGGCCATGGATGGGTCGAAGGGGAAGGATGCAATGGTAATCTTGCGAAGCTGCTCATCCTTCTGTGCGGGTTGACCGTAACCGATGCTAATGGACGCTGGCCGACGCCACCGATGTTGTATCGACGCTACCTCGGCGCTTCCTCGCCGACTTCCAGGCGCAGAGCACGCGATCGCACCCTGGAAACATAATTCCGAGGACATGCAACTCGCCATCGCTCGCACGTCCATTCCCTGTGTTTTTTTTCGGTTTCGTGCGTATTTTTGTTCGCCAACTGCTCAAGGATGCTCCTCGATGGTCCTCGCCGAGGAAAAAATGCACACGTCCGAGCGATGCCAAGACAAGACTCTCATGATTTGCGACCGAAGACCAATGTTGGCCCGCACTTCGACGGCCACTTCGGCGGCGAAGGCTCGCTCCAATGCGTCGCCGACGAGGAGGTCTGGGGCCCATCGGCCTTCGGGTCATGGCTCGGGGCTCCGGCGGCGAGCTGACAACCAGCACCTATACCTGTGCGACTCCAGGCTCCTCGGGGTGTAGTTCTGGGGAGGGGGGTCTGCGGGTGTGTAGTGTTGGGTGGGGGCCCATGCTCGAAGGGGAGCCCCCCCTCGGGGTCCGACAACTCGCGAGCATACCGATGGCGTCTTCATCGCCTGGCCCCTCCCCCAGTCCTCCTGCAGGTTTGAGCATGTTGTGCTCTCTCATGGCTGGAAGCTCTCGGCGAGGCGCGGCTGCTGGATGGCACCCCGCGACGAGAAACCCTCCGTTCCGAAAACTTCGGTTGAGCAGGGAGCGGCCGCCCGGGCAGCCCTGCAGGCCTACCACGACATGCTCTTGCAAGAGCGAAGCCCAGGTTCTTGGACCATAAAACACGGGCGTGTTCAGTCAACGCTGCCCGAGCCAGACATTTTCTGTGAGAGCGGTGCGCAAACATACCACGGGCTCTTTTCGGGAGCGGCCATGAGGGGGGGGTCCAAGAGGGGTGTGTGCAAATCATGACCGGCGGCATGTGCGTGGCCCAGCGGGGGGGCCAGGGACGTAGTGAAATAAGAAGAGGCGCCATGGAATCTGGGGAAATATCGTGGCCCCCGCCATGATATCCACCCCCCTAGTCATCACCCCTCCCTTTTCCGCTCCCGATCTTTGAGCACCACCTGGCGGGCTTAAAGACAAGCCGGGAGGCTTCGCCACTGCTTGCCTCGAGAGCGGGCGGAACCGCTGCCGCCAGCAGGCCTCCCGACGGCCCAGCCGAGGCACGCCGCCCCGCCCCGTCGCCGCCGCGTGCGCTGCGCTCCAGGAGGCGGCGCGGGTCACGCGAACTTCACCGCGGGCACGGACTCCTCCGAGCCACCCCCTCCTCCTGCCTCTCCTCTCTCACCTCCAACTCTACCCATCTGCCTCCTCAACCTTCCTCCGTATCCTCCCTCTCCTCCCTCCTCCCTCCTCCCTCTTCCCTCCTCCTCCTCCTCCTCCTCCTCCTCCTCCTCCTCTCTTCATTCCTCTCCTCCCCCTCCTCCTCAACCTCCTCCTCCTCTCCATTGTGTCGCTCCCGCTCCAGCCCCCTCCTCCTCAACCTCCTCCTCCTCTTCCGCCTCCCCCTGATACCCCGTCCCACTTTCGCTCAAAGACCGCACCCCTTGGACACCATCCTGACCACTTTTCGGCCAATGCCCAACCATGGCCGCGAAAAAAACATCGGAAGCAGAGAAAACACGGAATCTTTGACGTCCTGTTCCACCCCCCCTCCACTCCTCCTGCTCCCCCTCTTTTTACTTCTCCTCTTCATCCTTCTGCATCCTCCTCATCCTTCTGCAAAGTCGGCTCCTTGGGTATGTCCTTCTCGCGCGTGGCTTGCAGGGACGCGGCGAGGAGCTTCATTGGCATCATCGCCTTCTCCTGCACGGCCGCGCTTTCCCCCCTATATCCTTCCCTCCCGCTCTCTCCTTGTATGCACATGGTGTCTTTATTTCTGTATGTTTTTTTGGTGTTCTCTCTCCCTCTCTCTACATATACATACATAAGGACCTACACGCAAATCTCTCTCTCTCTCTCTCCCTCTCTCTTGTCCCCCCCTCTCTCTACATATCGTTGTCATTTCTCTATATGTATGTTTCTTTATCTCTCTCTCTCTCTCTTGTTATCTCTCTCTCTCGTTGATGTCATGCATTGTAGGCGTGCCTCTGTTTATCTCGTTGTCTCTCTATGTCTGTTTGTACGTGTCTGTATCGTTCTATGTGTAAGTCTCGTTGTCTGTCTCTGCTTATTTCTCTTTGTCGGTCTCTTTCCCTCTCTATTTCTCTCGTCCTCGCGTTTGTGCTGCGCACACTCTCCCTCTCTCTCTCTCTCTTTCTCCCTCTCTCTCTCACACTCTCGTGTTTTTTGTGTCTCTCTCTCTCTCTCTCTTCCCATAACTACCCCCAGAAACAGTTCGAGGTGCATCTCTTCGTCTTCTCCTCCACCTCTGCGCTATCATCCCCCCTTGTCTCTCCTCATTCGCAATCCTTCCTCATCAATCCCCCTTCTCCCCTATCCACCGCTACGCAATCTGAATACGACTCTCCTCTCTCCCCTCACCCTGTGCGGAAGATGGTCGGCCCTCTCCGCGTACAGTTGCTCACGCGCAAGATTTCAAACGTTTAGCTGTGCTGTTGTTCCACATGCGCTTGTGCTACAACCCGGAGGTTTTCGGTGCGTGGTAATGGCGTTCCCGAGGCAGCGTTGGCCTCGTTTTCGGATCGGCGCTTCGTTCCCGTCGTTCAGGATGGCGCTCTCGCCCCAGCGCGGGCCACTGTTCTGGATCCCAATCCTTTTTCATCGTTGCCGCCTCCCTCAAATCCCCTCTTCTGTCTTCCCCACTCCAATTCCTGTTGCTACTGTTCGTCCTCGTCCTCCTCCTTCCTCATCGTCTTCCGTTCACTCCTGCTCATCCTCCTGCTGACCCGCCACCTCCTCGTCCTATGTACGCATCTCCTCTTTTCCGACTGCGCATGACACGATGTGGTCATTTTGGGGTTCCAGGTCGGCTATGGCACGCGTCCGCAGATCGAGAAAACGTCATCGCAATAGGAAGCCATGGGAGGCCGGGGTAGGATGTCAAATATGGCGCGGGCGCGCCTTGCTTACCCTTCCCCTCTCTCTTCTCTCCTCCCTCGTCCCATATGCCTGCTCCCTCCTCCATCTTGAAACCAACTCCGGGCAACAACTCGATATTCATCTCTTAGCCTCCTCCAGGAAGTTCTCCTGGTGGAGGAAGAGGCGAAGGACAACGATGATGCTGCTTTAGGCTTTAGGCTTGAGGGCGGTCCCGAAGTGTCTGTTGGGATCCCCCATTTCCCTCTTCCCTGCTGTTTCTCCTCTTTCCTCCCGCCTCCCTGCTTCCCCCCTCCCTCCTCTCCTTTCCTTTCCCTCCTCCATTATTCTCCCTCTTCCCGCCTTCCTCGTCCCCCCGCCATCCCTCCTTCCCCTCTGCCCCTCCCGCATGCCTTCTCGGGATCCTCTCGGATCCATGTGTGGGTTCGGTCCGCCCCTGATACCACTACTGCAATGCATGACTGCGGGGCTCCCGCCTTCTCTGAAGTCAAACAGTTCATATACCAGAGAAAACAACCACAGGGATGTTCCTGACATTGCCGCATACACCCTGCGCATTATATTTTCTCTCAGTTTCCCTCTTTCTCTCTCTCTCTCACACACTCTCTCCCTCTGTTGTGTATCGCCTATATACATCACGTCTCTGTTTACTTGATATGCCCACGCACCTCGCTCTGCACTCGAACGTCCCAGGCCTAGCTTCAAGTGTACATATATATATATATATATATGCATGCGCATGTTTGTGTGACGTTCTCTCTCTCTCTCTCACTCTCTTGTAGAAGTGTACATATATGTGTAAATGTATATACATGGTTTCGCCATATGTGTTCTGGCATTTACTCTCTTTCTCTCTGACTATATCATATACCCGCCCACTATGACCTCCCCATCGCTCCTTCAAGCATATACTTCACAATGCTTCTCTCATCATCTTTATCTCTGTATATCTCCTTCTATCGTTCTCTTGCCCGTCTCTCCGTGCCCCTAGCTCTCTGTGTCACGTGATACTGCCATGTCTACTCCGTATGCCCTCGAGAGCCGGCCTACCTTCCTTTCCCTAAGCTCTATTGTCTAGTCTCCCTGCGAATGTATGATTTTGATTATTTCACATGTTTTCTCAACGGCCAAGTGTTTTATACATAATAAGTAATATGTATGTATATTGTGTGTTCGTGTGTGTTATATGATTCTGTCCCTGGCAGCAAGCGCCACAAAATCTGCAAGAACCCGAAGGGCCCCACTGTACCATGAATCCTCGGCCTGGAGCCAGAACCTCGGAAACCCGCCGCCACCCGAAATCGGCCGAGAGCCCAGAGCCGCGCACCTTTGGAGACTGGCCACCCAACGAAGTCGACACTGCTACTTTCGCCTACTCCTACAGTCTCCAGTAGGACCTTTTCGGTGCAAACGCTCTGGAACTACTCTCTGTCCTCAGGTATTTTCTAATACATGTGTACATGCATATAGAGATATAGCGTGTTCGCTCTCTTTGTCTCCCTGTCTGCAGGTCTGTACTATTTATATGGTGTACGAATTTCCATACGGCTTCTCTCTCTCTCTCTCTTTATCTCTCTCTGTCTCTCTCTTTTTCTCTACTCTCTCTCTCTCTCTCGCTAGAGATCCATTCGCCCATACTGCATCAATACTGGCTACGCCATCAACTCGCAATGCACTTGGTTCCATCAAACACATGTGTAGATATATCATACATATATCATACATTTATCATACATATATATATATATAGATGTTTAGATTGTAAATGGAGGCGGGTGAGGGTCACGGGCCGGATGAAGCCTATAGGCACGTTCGCGCGATGGGGGAAGGGCATGGTTGAGACGGGGGCGAAGGTGAGGACCTGACCCCAACAGGGGCGACGGTTACGATGTCGAGGGTGTGTGCGCCATGACCGCCAGCGGGGCAAAGGTCGTGGCAAAACGGGGCCTGGGCAATGGTCTCGCGCCGATGAGTGGGACCACAAGTCCGATGAGATGACCGCGAGGGGGGTGAAGGTCACGATCCGAGAGGGGTTGCAATCATGGCCTTGGTGAAGGTGGCATGGCCGTGGCATTGCTGTGGCACGGAGTGGGAATCATGACTGGCAGTACGGGGGCAAAGTGGGTCACGGGGAGTCTCATGAGGGGGGAGGATGGTAACCGCGAGTGGGGCATTAGTCATGCGATTGAAAAGTTACAAGTGCAGTTGTGAGTGGGGTGAACGTGATGACCCGAGTGAGGGCAAGCTCATGTCTGGTGCACATTTGCAAACACGCACACGCCCACGACGATCCGAGTCTGTCGAGTCGCTGGTCTCTAAACCTGCGACTTCCTCCTCTCTAAACCTTCGACTTCCCGGGACTGGCTTGTCATCCCGAGTCTTTGTTCGACGGCCCTCAATTCTGTAAGCGACCCTCACACACCGACAGTTTGGAAACGCCGTCAGGAGGAGGACGACGAAGGGAGGAGGACGAGGGAGGAGGAGGCCAAGCATAGGGCAGGAGAGGGAGGAGCAGAAGGATGAGAGGACGTACGCAAGTCGGGGGAAGGGGATATGTCGTCTTGGGGCCATCTTGGGCCATTGTTGCGATTCCCTGGGGCCGTCTTGAACCCTCCCCGGGAGCTTTCGTTGGGCTGCAGAGGGCGCCGTCTTGGGGCCTCTGTGGGCGTCTTGGGGGCCGTCTAAAGTGCATGTCGGGGGCGTTGGTGAGGACGCTGGGAAGCATGCCTGGGGAGCTTGCGAACTCAAGAAAATGAACTTCGCAAGAGCTCCCAACGAGCTTCGAAGGAACTGCGGAAAGGCTTCCAACACCCGTATTGGGAACGAGTAGGAAAACGCTTCTGGGACCCGCTGGAGGGTCAAACAACTCGCTGCGGGGATGCCTGACTGGGAGCCTTGGAAATGGGCTGGCGTAGCCTGCGCTGCCGGTTTCTTCTCTAACAACCTTCTTAGCTCTCTCAAGGAGTTATCCGGGAACGTCTGCGGCATCTTGGAAGACGCCTGCATCGTCTCAGGGCCATGTTGGACCGTCTTGCGGTCCCTCGGGGCAGTCTCGGGAGCTCCTGGGAGCCGTCTTGGAGCACTTTTGGGCGTCTGGGGGCCCTCTTGGGCACTTTTTGGGCCATCCTCGACTATGATGCAGCCGTCCGGGGGCGATCTGGGGAGTCCCTGGGTTCGTCGTGGGTCACAGGAAGCTCGAAATGGGAGTCCACAAATCATTGCCGTCTCGGGAGCTGAGCCCCCTCTAGGCTATCGTTGGGCTTCGACGAAGCCATACGGGGGCACTTTCGGGCGTCCGGGGGCCTTCCTGGGCAGTTTAGGGGCCGTCCTCGAGGCTGCTGCAGCCTTCTGGGGGCGATCTTGGAAGCCCCTGGGTTCGTCGCTGGCCACAGGAAATTGGGGGAATCAAAGGTTTCTGCCTCTGGCGGCCCTCTGGGAGCTCTTCTGGGGCCTTCTCGGGAGCCTGTCGGGTTGTGTTGTGGCCATCTTGGGGCCGTGTGGGAGCCGTCCTCGGGCTCCTTTGTCCATCTTAGGAATCGCGGCGAGGCCTCTGGGGGCCTCCGCGGCTTCCAGAAGAGTGAGGGCGGCTAGCCAAGGAGGCCTGGGGGACCGTCGGAAAGATGCTCTGAGTAGGGCGGGGCAGGGCCGTCCGAAAAGGGTCCTGGGATCTTCGGGGAGGGGGGGTCTCTGCCATCAGGGGGAGGGGACACCAAACAGGATAGATGTATATATATATATATATATATATACATATACATAGACATAGTTTTATATAGACAGGTATACATACATACATACATACATACATACATACATACATACATACATACATACATACATACATACATAGATACATGTATCCCTCTATATATATGTATATATAAGTGTACACACACGCATCTATACATATATATATATATATATATATATATATACATAGGTTTTTTTTGGCACCCCGCTCGCCCGTCCAGGAGGCTTTAGCGTACTTGGCGTAACCATCATCAAAACAGGCTCCTGCCTCGACGCGCGCAGCACTGCGGCCGCACGGCACATATAGATATAGATATCCGCCACCGTGCCTCTAGGCACAGGATGGGCGTGTCCCCGGGCCCTTTGTAGAGTCCCTGGGGCCGCAGTCCCCGGGCCCTTTTTTAAGGGGCCAGGGCCCCACAACCATCCGAAGCCTACCGGGTCCCGGGGCTGGGGCCAGGAGGGCCCGAGGACGGGCCAAGGTGGCCCTGCGAGGCCCCCCATGACGGTCCAAGGGGGCCTTGTGGCAGAAAGATCGCCTCTAAAAGACGTCCCGAGATGGCCCAAAAGGCCTCCAAGACGCCACACAAAAGGCCTCCAAGATGCCTCCCAAGAGGACCCAAAAAGGCAAACAACCCCGGTCTCTTAAGGATCCAGGTGCTCTCGCCTTTGCTCCAAGACGGCCCAAGAGCCTCCAAGACCACCCCAAAACGGCCACAACGGCCCCCAGAGGGCCCCAAGACGGACTAAGAATGCCCCAAGGCAGCCAAAGAGGCGCCCAAGACGGCCCAAGAGGGCTCCAAGACGGCCCCATAGTTTTCCCAAGAGATGGAACACGAACCGAACTGCCAAGTTCTCCGCCGCAAGGGGTTCCCAGGAAGCCCCACGAGGCGCCCAGGGGGCCTCAAAAGGCCCCCAAGATGCCCCCAAGAGGTCCCAAGAGGCCCTCAAGAGGCAGAGGCCCCAAACAGGTCCCCAAGAAGCTTCCAAGCTGCCACCAAGAGGCCCCCTAGAGGCCTCCCACGATATCCCAACGACCATCCAATAGGTGGGTTCATACCCACAACGCAAGCACGGTGGCGGGACAGGCTGAAGCCCCAGGGCAGAGCTCTTGTGGAATTACTATAAGAAGGAATTCCCCACATCATGATTTTACTGGGTTGGCGGGATTAGGGGGGCGCCAAAGGCCTCAGTGGGCAGCCTGGCAGGGCCTCCGTGAGCGCGATCGGCGCCTCTGCAGACTGCACATGGAATCCCAGTGAGCAGCGTGACGAGGCCTCTGTGGGCGCGCCTGGGGCCTCTGCGGGCAGCGTCTGGGGTTTCAGTGAACAGCGTGGCGGGGCCTGTCTGGGCGCGATCGGAACCTCGTTTGGCAGCGTCTGGGGCCTCAGCGGGCAGCGTGGCGGGGCCTCTGTGGGCGCGCCTGGGGCCTCTTTGGGCAGCGTCTGGGGCCTCCTCTGGCGGGGACACCCTGGAGGGGCGGGAGGGGCACGAAGTGAAAATAATGTGTGGTGCCGATATCGTAATCGCTCTGGCGGGGCCTCTTTGGAGGGGTGGGAGGGGCGCGAAACCATATACATAAGTATGGTTCAGATACCGTCCTGGCTCTGGCGGGGCCTCCCTGGAGGGGTGGGAGGGGCACGAAAACGTGTAAACAATTTGTGGTTCCGATACCGTTCTCGCTCTGGCGGGGCCTCCCTGAAGTGGTAGTGGTAGTAATCGGACTACTAGTAGTAGTAAGAATATTTGCAGTCAGAGTAGCCATCGTTTCAGCAAAGGGGGAAGGAGGAGGGGGAGGGAGGAAAGACGGAAATAATGTCCTGTGAAACAGCAACCCCACTCAGGATGTGGGGAAAACGAGCCAAACCAAAACCATAAGAAATCTAGCACGCCAGGCACGCCTGTGGCAAGACGACATGGTACGGAAGACGGCCAATATGGCCTCCAAGTTTGCCCAAGATGGGCCCAGATGGCCTCGCAGACGGCCCAGAAGAATCCAAGATGCTTCCAAGTTCGCCCAATAAGCCACCAAGACGGCCCAAGATGACTCCACGACGGCCTCAAGATGGCCCAAGAGGCTCCCAACAGGTCTCCAAGACGGCCCTAGAGGCCTCCAAGAGGAGCTCCAGGAAGGCCCGAAGAGGCCCAAATCATTGATTGTCCTTAGGTCTTTGAAGATTTTGGCATGTGCTTCTTGTCGGCCTTCCGACGGCCCGACACGGCCCAAGAGCCCCCAAAGATCGCCACCAAATCACCCAAGAGGCCTCCAGGGTGGCCCCAGAGCGGCCCAAACTGCCCCCAAGACAGCCCCAAGAGGGCCCCAAGACGGCCCACGAGGCCTCCTAGACTCCCAACATGGCCTCTAAGACGGCCCTGGAGCACCCCAAGAGGGCCCCAAGTCGGCCCAGAGAGGCCCCCCAAACGGCTTCTGGCGGCGTCAGGTGGGCCAGGACAGCCATAAGACGGCCAAAGAAGCCCCCGAGAAGCACCCAAAGGTCCCCTCGTGGGCCAAGGAGGCCCCCAAGATGCCTCCAAGAGGCTCCCAGAGGCTCCACGCTCGGCCACACGGGCGATTCCAGAGGGCAGGGGGCGGCGGGGATTCGCCGTAGGCGTTTGAACATGAAGTATAGGAATCTGTCACCGCAACGTGTATTCTCCTCGCGCCCAAGTGGACGACGCCGACGCCACGGCAAACCCACGGCAAACCCTGCGTCCCGCGCCCAAGTAGACGACGCCCGCACGGCGGCAAACCCACAGCGAACCCACCGCGTCCGAGGCGGGGTATGCCCTGGTGGCCGAGGCACCCTCCCCCAGACGTAAGGCCGCGCGTCGGAAGACGGCGCGGCGACACATGTGTAGATATCAGATGATCAAGTCTGCGATCCCTCAGCCTATGTCTCTACTTTTCGGATGCAGTCGTCGATATTTACGATCCGCGAGACCCTTCCGGCCGTGGCCGCAGGGACCTGGGTGCTTGGCCGCAACCAGGAACTCGCCCAGGAATCTTACAACGCCAGGAACTCCGGACCCGGACCCAGACCAAAGAACCCGGGAACCTGGCCGCCCACCATTGGAAACGGCTCAGAACTCGGAACTGAAGACCTGGGAAACCTGTGACAGGGAACCCAAGAACTCGACCGCCTACCGGAATCGGCACCGCCCATCAGCTTACTCGTTCAACCTCCACTAGGGCCTCTGCAGTGCAAGCGCTGATTGCGGAACATAACTCCATCATGCTCGGTAGCATGGCTACGAGAAGCGCGCCGAGATAGACTTAGTGATTGCGTACGAGGGAACGCACGCCAAAACCTGAGGGGAGGAGATGGAAATGGTAGAAGAAAGAATGGGGACATGGGGGGATGGGGGATGCGGGGGAACGATGTTGGGGAGGGGGGAACAGGTGCGAGGGGAGACTGGGAGAGGGGGGGCGAAGGGAGAGAGATACGGAAGAGGAGGGTAGGGGAGGGCAAGAGGAAGGAAAGGATGGGAAAGGACCGGAGGGGAGGAGGGGTGCATGAAAATAATGGAGACAATGAGGACCAATATTGCTTGTCATGAGGAGGCGCAAACTGCGGACTACGAACACACGGGGGATAAGAGAAACGTGCTGGAGACATGCGCGACAAGAACCTAGGGGTGGGTGCTCCCCATGCATCCGGAAGAACGACTCCAACTCTTGGATGTCTTCCTTCGGGCCGCCGGCAGTGGGGCACACCGAAAGCTGTGCCTTCCTCCTGCCACTGATGTAGCACTGTGAGCAGCGAGCTTTGTGCGAGAGCTGCCAACTGCCAACGCATCTGGCGTGCGCAGAAGATGGACCCGTGCACACGGGCAGTGGGCGTCAGCCTCTTTCGTAATACCCTCGCTTGACCCTGCCCCCCTCCACAGCCAGTTCGCCAAACCTCCCTGGGAACAGCTACCTTCTTGGTCAACGCCCGCTACTTCCAAAAGCCAGGAGAAAGAATCCAAAAACATCGGCACGCGCCGATAACCCAAAGATCTACCTATGCGACCACCCGTCGGGCGATAAGGAGGTTCGGGGGGGGAGGAGCCAACGTCTCACTCGATCGGTCTCACTGTCGATCTCTCTATCGATCTTACTATCGGTCTCGCTCGATCGATCTCACTCGATCGATCTCACAATCGATCTCACTCGATCTATTCCATTCCATCGATCTCACAATCGATCTGACTATCGATCTCACAATCGATATCACAATCGATCTCACTATCGATCTCTCCATCGATCTCACAATCGATCTCACATTCGGTCTCTCTATCGATCTCACGATCGATGTCACAATCGAACTCACAATCAACGCCATCATCAACAACAACATCATCGTCATCAACGCCATCAACATCATCATCATCATCATCATCATCATCATCATCATCATCATCATCAACGGGACACCATCATCATCAACACCACCTTATCACCATCATCATCAACATCATCATCATCACCATCATCATCATCCAGACATCGCCATCGTCACAATCATCATCATCAGCATCATCAACATCATCATCGTCGGAGCACCATCATCAGCATCATCATCATCATCAGAGCACCACCATCATCGCCATCACCATTATCATCATGAAGAGCATCATCAACATCATCACCGGGACACCACCATCATCAACAGCAGCATCATCAACATCATCATCATCACACCATCAGCATCGTCACCATCATCATCATCATCACCATCATCATCATCATCATCGGGGCACAATCATAATCATCATCATCACCATCAGGCCAACATCATCAAAATCATCATCATCATCACCTCACCATCATCCTCACCATCAACATCGTCAGCATCATCGTCATCATCGGGACACCATCATCACCATCATCATCACCATCATCATCATCGGGACACCATCATCATCACCATCATCATTAACAGCATCATCATCAACCTCATTATCATCACCAGGACACCATCATCATCATCATCATCATCATCGTCACTATCATCATCATCATCTCATCGTCATCTCGCAATCAACATCATCATGATCATCATCAGCATCATCACCGGGACACCATCATCAACATCATCATCACCATTGGGACACCATCATCATCATTATCACTATCACTAACATCATTACCATCATTAATATCCTTAGTATCGTTATCATCATCATGATCATCATCGGGACACCATCATCATCATCACCACCATCACCATCACCATCATCACCATCATCATCATCGACATCAACATCATCGACATCATCGACATCATCATCATCATCACCACCACCACCACCATCATCATCATCATCATCATCATCATCATCATCATCATCATCATCATCATCATCATCATCATCATCATCGGGACACCGACGGGACACCGGCGGGACACCGGCGGGACACCGCGGGCCACCGGCCCCCGGAAAGGAATCATTTGGTCCAGCCGCGCCTCAGCTGGAGGCGGGACAGCGGCAAGACACTGCGGGCCACCGGCCCCTGGAAAGGAATCGTTTGGTCCGGCCGCGCCTCAGCCGGAGGAGACTTTCTTCTCGCCCGCCCACGCAGCTTCGCCTCGGACCCTAGGCGTTGTCTTGGAACTTCCATCCTTCGTAGAATGTCTGTATATGTGGACCTGGACTACCCGTTAAGAGAACGCCTCGGTGGGAGCTGCCTTTCTTAGCCATGAACTTTCTTAACCCCAAGCAAGGGTGTAAACTGAGATAGCTTTGGGACGCTTGGAACGTTCCGGGATCAATCTCCTACTGGCTCGAGGGGGGCCAACTTTCTCAGCCTGAAGTTTTCGCCATTCTGAGCAATGGTGTAGGCTGAGATGTTTTTTTGGGGCGGGCGGTACCCATCGGTCGGAAGAAGTAGGTAGAAACATGAAGTAGGAAGGCGTTGGAAATAGATTGGGTTTCCGCCCCGCCTCCTGAAGAGGAGGGAAGAGGGAGAACCACTCGACTCTTGAAGCAGGAATGCGCTGAACGTAGATTGGAATCTGAGAATCCAAAAATACCTACTTTCAACGACCGGGGCACCAGCCGGTTCCAACAGGAACGCCAAAGGGCCCTTAAGGGGCCTTTTCTTCCCCCCCCTTCGGTGCACACCCTATTGCTCGGGGGCGGCCGAAAGGGGGGATAGCAAAGGGGGGGTTTGAGAATCAGCTCACGTAGCTGATTTTCCCGGCGCCGGGAGGCGCCCATGTATCGAGGAATGGGCCCCTCGGTGGGGTCGAAACCAGCTGCATGCAGCAGATTTCGCACCCCCCCCTTTCCCTATCCCCCCCTTTCGTCCGGCCCGATACTCGGGGGCGGCCAGGAGGGAGGCGTTCAAGAGGGAGAGGCGAGGCGCAAGTCATGGCCGGCAGCAGCATGTGCGCGGCCCCGGGGGGGGGCCAGGACACGTATGGAAACAAGAAAAGGCGTCATGACATCTGGGGAGGTATCGTGGCCCCCGCCATGATATTCACCCCCACCCGCCCGAGCTTTGAGACATTTGGAACGCTCTGGGATCACACATCCCTGTGCTATACAGTGGAGGCCCGTCCAAAAGAACCCTTTCACAAGAAACCCAACCCTGAGACCCCAGGACGTCCATCGATTTTTGGTGTGGGAGCGTCACGCTTTCCACAGCAAAACCATCGAAACCCAAGAAGCCCAGGCCACCCTGCAGGCAAGCATGGTGTCTTTTGGCATGGACCCCCCACTGTTACCACTCGCCTGAGCTCTGCGGCACTTGGAACGCTCCAGGATCACACGTCCCTGTGCTACAAGCCTGCCTGATCCTCCACCCCCGCCTTCTCTCCATAGGCCGCCCCTCACGCGTCACAAACCCTCTCTCGTGCCCACGCCGCCGGGTTGCTGGCCCCTGTGCGCGAGGGTTTTCGCCTCGATCCGCGATCGTCGATCCTCGACCCTCGATCGAGACTCGATCTTCGACCCTCGACTCTCGATCCTCGACCTTCGACACTCGGCCCTCGATCCTGGACCCTCGCCCCTCGACCCTCGACCCTCGATCCTCGACCCTCGATCCTCGACCCTCGATCTCCGACCCTCGACCCTCGACCCTCGACGCTCGACGCTCGACGCTCGACTCTCGAGCCTCGAGCCTCGACTGTGAGGGCCCCCCTCAAAAGGCTCCCCCCGCAGACCTCCGCCGCCCCGACCATTGTCGGATCCGTCGGGCCCCAGGACCCTCAGCCCCGTCTCTGGAACCGCCCCTTGTGCCGTAGTAGGTCGTTCCTTGACGGCCCCCGTCCCACGACGCGGTCCCCTTGCGGCGAAATCGCAGGCAAAAGCGGGGGGGTTCGGTTCTTGATGCCGGGGCTGGAGCTGCCAGGCGTCCACCCCGCCTGGGGGAGGGAGGGGAGGGAGGGGAGGGAGGGAGGCAAGCTAGGTGCGCTCGCGTCATATCTGACATCCTACCCCTCCCTCCCATCCCTTACCATGGCGTAGATCCCCTCTCTACTCGCACAGTCGGATGTCGAGCAGGGCAATGATCCCGAAAGGGTACGCGATGCATTGTAGAGCACGGCATGGCATGGCGTAGAAGAGCACCGCAAAGCGTAGCATCAACCTAGCATTGCATTGCATGCCGTGGCATGGCACGGGAAGTGACGCCAGCGCTGCAGCGGTAGCACGAGTCGAAACGAGCGGAAGCGCCGAATTGAGGCCAGCGCTGCAGCGAGAGCACGATTCGGAACGAGCGGAAGCACGGAAATGAGGCCAACGCTGCAGCGGGAGCACGATTCGGAACGAGCGGGGCCCGAAAATGTGGCCGGCGCCTCAGCGAGAGCAGCATTTTGAACAAATGCAGGCGAAAACCCAACTCCGGGGAAACCTGTGTGTAAAAAAACAATACGCGGGGGGAGGTCGAGCACTTCCAAACCGTCATCAGGGGAAGAGGGAGAGTAGTATTCATATTGAGTAATTGTGGAGCGAGGGGAGGAAGGGGAGGGAGGGAAGGGAACCTGCCAGGACCCCCATGGGGGCAGCGAATACGGACGTGGATCTGAGTGTGCGGAGGTCCCCCGGCGGCGGCGCCGCGGCGGCGGCTCGAGCCGCGCGGCTCGAGCCGCGCGCCGCGGGGGCGACGACGACGACGACGACGACGACGACGTTTGACGACGACGACAGCCCCCCCGCCTGGGAAGAAACTATGGGAGAAAGTGCCAGGGGCGGAGGGGAGGGAGTCCCGGGGGAGGGGGGGAGGGGGTGCAAATGCTTGAATAAGTACTTATCCGAATGCGAGACAGGCTCATCCGAATTCACACACATATATAATATATATATATATATATATATTTATATATATATATATATATATATTAAAACCACCCCACTTTAAGCACCGAGCTCCAACCTCCCCTACCTGCCGGACTTCCGCTTCTGGGGGCCCGAGCCCGGGGCCCTTGCTGGAACTTCGGCCACGCTCGTGGGGCAGCTTTCGCTCATTCCCTGCTGCCTCGACTGGACTACGAGCATTGCAGAAGAGGGCGAGGACGCGTTCGTGGAGTACTGCGTGCAGACTTAATGACGGGCCACTTTTATCCCTCCCCCCTTCCTCTGCGCAGCTTGCTCCGTCGTCGTGCACGTCCTTCACACCACGCATGCAGGTCGCATTGCTTGTGATTTTCCAAATCGTGCCCCCCCCGTTCACGGGCCAACCTGTTGGTTTGACCGGGCCTCTGCTCCCTGCTGCCTCGACCCCAGCTTCCGGGAGGAGTGAGTTACCAGGAGCGCGTTCACGTCCGAGGGGGGCGGGCGTGCCAGTCGCGAGCGGCAAGGGCGCCTCGATCCAGGCACACTGTGGAACAGAGAATTTATAGACCTCTCTCCCTCCGCCCTTCGTCCCCTGTCTTCGGAGAAGGGGTGTGTGTGTCCCATGGCGGATTCCGGAAACCCTGAACCCCAAAAAACGGTTTCACCTCCTCGGGGCGCATCTTCTACTTCCGCTGCCTTCCGCCGGCCTTCCGCCGCCTTCTTCTGGCGGAGCCGGCCTCGTTTCGCTTCCGCAGCCTTCCACCAGCCTTCCACCGAGGAAGAGATGACGACTCCTTCTATCCTCGAAGGCGAGGCCCTTGTGTAGAAAAAGAAAAAACAAAGACATACACTTGTGGCGTTCCGCGCAGATTTCTTGGATTCGCGCTGGATCCCCCCTCCCTGGCGCGCGGAGCGCGCCAGTGGCGGCGCCGGAGGCGCCGCCGGGGGGTCCAGGCGCGGATCCAAGAAATCCGCTCGGAGCGCCAAAAAGTTTTTGTGTGTTTTTTTTTCTTCGATTGTGGCAACGCTCAACATGTACAACAAGTTCTCGCAGTCAATTTTTGCGAACGCCCAGAGTGGCACATGTTAGCGCCTTGTGCCCAATGGTGCGCACCGCCGACGCCACCGACTGGCTTGGCACTGCCGTTCTCGAGCATCGTTTCTACCTCCCAGGGGTCTGGGGGGTGCAGCAAGATGAACCCCAAATGGTTGATAATGCCAACCTGTGTTTGTGGCAACCCCCTTCTGAACTCTGAGAATGGCCAGCAACATTTCTGACCTGATCTCCGTGATGTGAGGGAACCCTATCCCGCGCACATGAGCAACCAGTCTCGCTGTCTCAAAATATTGTGGAAACCGAATCGGAGATCGTCCAGGAACCGTGGCGCCGTGGTGGACGTACCACGTGGTGGCCATGTCGCCCATTGATACCACTGGATCCCCCATGCACTGAGATCCCCGATAACCACTTGACTCAAAACATGTGATCTGCCATATTCGGGGCGCCCGAATGATAAAATCCCGATAATCATTGCACCATATGTTTCCAGCAAAAACGAAATGCTATGGGCAGTGGGTTGTGGTAAACTGCAGCCACCCTAGCCGGGAACTCTGATGGTCGTCTCATCCTTAAAGATGGGCTCAGGTGTCCTGGAAACCTGTAGAGTACTTGGCAATGCTTCTGCTTCTCCGTCCTCCTCCTCCATCCTCCCCTTTCGCCTCCTTCTCCTCCTCCTCCTCCTCCTCCTCCTCCTCCTCTTTCCTCCTCTCTCCTCCCTCTTCCCTCAAACCTCCTCGCTCCTCCCTCCTCCCTATTCTTTTCCCCCTCCTCCTCCTCCTCCTCCTCCTCCTCCTCCCCGCCGTGGATCGAACGGCGCGCGACGCTGAAGGTCCGTGCCAGCCTCCGCCCCGCCGCGACACAACGCCCTCCCCCTCCTCCAAACCGCGGCGGGTGGGCCGTGACCCGCCCCGCGGTCCGTGTCGCGCTCATCCTCGGTCTTCTCGAAAGGGATACCCTTCTCCTCTGCCACGGGGTGCGCATGGGGGGCGGGGCACGGAGGAGCTGCCGAAGCGCCGCCGTGCGCGGTTCTGTCCATACCGTGTTGCGTGTGTGCTGTCCCGCCCTCCTGCGTGTGGGGTCCTCGCTTGTCATGCGCATCGCCCGCGTCTCATTCCTCCTCCACCTCCTCCTTCCTCCTCCTCCTTCTCCTCCTCCTCCTCCTCCTCCTCCTCCTCTCCTGGCATCTCCTCTCCTCCTCCCTCCCCTTGCTCCCTCATCCCATCCCTGCTTCGGCACATCCCTCACACGCTTCGCGGCCCCATGGGGAGCCCCACCGAAGGCCCAACTGGCAGCGTTCGCATGGCGGCACCGCACCCACATCCTCAACACCCCTCACACATTGCGTGACCCTGTAGGGAGCTCCACGGAAGGCTCCAGTCGTGTCCCTTGCATATGTAGCCCCACCGAGGTCTCCAATGAATGCGCTCGCATGGCGGCACCGCATCCAAGTCAGCACATCCCTTACACGTGTCGTGCCCCATGAGGAGCTCCATCGAAGGCTCAGTGGCTGCAGTCGTATGGCGTCACCGCGCCCATTTCGACACACGGCCCCTTCATACGCTTCGTGCCCCTGTAGGTCCCTTCACTGACGGCCTCAACGGTTGTGTTCGCATGCCGGCGCCGCATCCGTTTCGGCACACCCCTCACACGCTTCGCGGCCACGTGACGGGGCTCTACGGGGGGGCCAATGGCTGCGTTCGCATTGCGGCACCGCACACGCTTCGGCACATACGTTTCGTAATCGCATCAGAAGCTCCACCGAGGACCCCAGTGGCTGCGTTCGCCTCGCGGCACCGCGTCCATGTCGGCACACCCAGCACACGCTTCGTGGCCCCAGGGGGGCTCACCGAAGACCCCGATGGCTGTGACCACATGCGTCATCGCCACCCATTTCGGCACACCCCTTGCATGGCGGCACCGCGCCCTCGTCCTCCGCATCCCTTACACGCTTCGTGGCCCTATCAAGGGGGCTGGAATACCCCAGTGGTTGAATTCGCAGGGCGGCACCGCACCCAAATCCTCCACACCCCTCACACGTTTCGTTTCGCCCCCCGCATATGGAGATCCACCGACGGCTCCAATGGCAACATTCGCATGGCAGCACCGCATCCATGTTGGTACACCTTTTCGCACGTTTCGTGCTCCCCCCCCGCATATGGCATATGGAGCCCACCGCAAGCTCCAATGGCTGCGTTCGGATGGCGGCACCGCGCCCACATCCACATCCCTTACACGTTTCGTGGTCCTATTAGGGATCTGGAAGACCCCAGTGGCTGCGATCGCATGGCGGCACCGCACCCAACTGCTCCACACCCCTCACACGTTTCGTTTCCCCCCCCCCCGCACATGAGCTCCACAGAAGGCTCCAATGGCTGGATTTGCATGGCAACACCGCGTCCATTTCGGTACACCTCTCACACGTTTCGTGCACCCCCCCCCCGAATGTGGAGGTCCACGCCAGGGGCACTTCCCGTCATCCGCCACCGTGCGCTAGTCACCATGCCCTAGCCCCCATGTCTGTATACTCCACATTGTTACGTAACACCTCTTGAAAGGCCCCAGATCCCCAACTCACAGGCGCTCTCACGGCATGTCGCGTGACTTTTTCCACTCCGAAATACTGAAGAAGGAACATAACGATCGTGCGCGGGTTGTGTCGCCCTCGAAACTTGTCCCTTACTCTTCCTCCCTTAAATATCCCTACCCCTCCTCCTCCTCCTCCGCCTCCTCCTCCTAGGCCTCCTCCTCCTCCTCCTCCTCCTCTTCCTCCCCCTCCTCCCCCTCCTCCTCATCCTTCTTCTTCTTCTTCTTCTCCTCCTTCTCCTCCTCCTCCTCCTCCTCCTCATGCAAGCATTGTTTGTGGAACAGTGCAGACCACACGCGCGCAATGCCACTTGACAATTAGTCCCACGCGGGCCATGCCGCATCAGCCCGGGGCAGTGCCCCACCGTGCGGAGCAGATGCGCTGATCCATCGAGATGCCTGTGGTGACACTTCCTGTCAAGTAGCATACGGGCCACTCGCGCACACGTGTCCAAACCACCGGCAGATAGACCATCTGTTGCGTTGGGCACCCCATTGAAAATCCGCCACCGTCCGCTCGTCACCATGCCTTAACCCTAGATGACTGTATACTCCATTGTTCCGCCGTAACATCTCTTGACGGGCCCCAAAGCCCCAACTCACAGGCGCTCTCATGGCATGTCGCTTTTTTCCACTCCGCAATACTGGAAGAACATAACGATCGTGCGCGGATGGTGTCGCCCCTCGAAAAATATCCCTTACTCTTCCTCCCCCTAATCATCCCTACCCCTCCTCCTCCTCCGCCTCTTCCTCCCCCGCCTCCTACCACCTCCCCCCTCAACGCATCCTGAAACCAAGGAAAGCGCCAGACGACCTGAGAATATATCCGACAATCTTCCCCTTTTCCTCCTCTTCCTCCCGCTTCCCTCCTCCCTCTTCCCTCCTCCTCCTCCTCCTCCTCCTCCTCCTCCGCCTCCTCCTCCTCCTCTTCTTCCTCTCCCCTTCCTTCGCCACCCGGGCGCGGGGTGCGAGCTAGGGGAGGGGTCATCGAACTCAGTCGTGAAGTCGAGCTTGACCTTCGTTGCCCAATGGCCCTTCGGCGCCACCATCCCCTGGCTGGGAGGCCGGGAGGCGGGGTGAAGGGCGGCGCAAGGGGAAGAAGGGTGTGGGGAGGAGGGCAAGGCGGAGGAAGGCGGGAGGAGTAAGGAGGAGGAGGAGGAGGACAAGGAGGAGGAGGAGGAGGAAGAGGAGGAAGAGGGTGATTAATTCTATGTTTCCTTCCAAGGTCGGACGAGGCTCCAGGGGCGTAATCGGTACCCTGCATTTTTTGACGCCTTCTCGCACGCCCCTTCTTCCTCCTCTTTGCCATGCACTTCGTTATCAGCCTCCTCCTCTTTCTTCCTCTCTCTCTCTCTCTTTCACTATCTCTCTCTCTCTCTCTCTCCCTTCTCCTCCTCCTCCTCCTTCACCTCCTCCTTCTCCTCCTCCACCTCTGGTTCGGGGCCACCACCACCCGCCGAGGGGGAGTGGTCCAGCTGAGGCCCAGCTGAGGCCACCACCACCCGAGGAGAAGGAGTAGTGGCTTCCTCGGCTCGTCTCGTAATGTGGCGCGGTCAGGTGGTCTACGGCCGTCGTGGGGCGGTGCCCCCCACGGCGGCCTCTGCCGATACTGACCCAATGGATCTCCCTCCCAATCCCCATGCACCCTTGTCCCGGTCTCTCCCCCTGCCCTGGTGCTGGCGGCGGCGGAGGAGGGAGGTGCAGGTTAGTGGGCGAAAGTCGGGAGGAGAAGGGATGGACGGGTAGGCCAGGTTCAGAAGATCCAGGGTTCGCTAAGGACTGGTTTCGTTTCGAAACAGCCGAAACCCTCCCGAAACCCTCAGGGAAGGGTTCCAGGAGATTTTTCGGAGGGTTCTGGGGATTTCTGGCAGGGTGTTTTTTTCGCTGTTTGGGGGGACCAATTCCCAGCGAACCCTGGGCTTTCTAAGGCCAGGTGGAGGCTGGATGCTACCGGAGAAGGTGCAGTGGGGGCCCATGCCAAGAACCACCCTGCTTGCCTCCAGGGTGCCCTGGGTTTCTTGGGCTTCGCTGGTCTTGCTGTGGAAGGCGCGACGTTCCCGCAGCAAGAATCAATGGACGCCTTGGGGTCTCAGGGTTGGGCTTATTGTGGAAGGTTTCTTATTGTAGGAGGCTGGACAAGCGCGTTCCACTACTGTAGGAGGCTGGACAAGCGCGTTCCACTACTGTGGACGCTGGGCCCCTACTGTAGGAGGCTGGACAAGCGCGTTCCACTACTCGCAGAGCAACTACTCGCAAATGGTTTGGATCCGCCGCGGGGGACTTGCGACAAACTGCATCGAAGCAGACATGCGTCCTCTCGGACGTTTGCGAGCAGGCCCTTTGCGAGCAGTGGAGCGCACTCGGTGGGAGGCGGGGCGCAGGCATGGAGCAAGGCTCCGCAAGCGCAGCCGCCCAAGGCCTGCCGGCCCGAGCCCCCGCCGCCGGTGCGCCGCCTGCGCCGGCCGGGCAGGGCGGCCTTCGCGCGGGGGGCGGGGGGGGGGGGGTCCTGCGGCCGCGGGGGCGCGGATCGACGCGCGCGCGAAGTCGGCACCGCCTGCCGAAGTCCCGACAATTGGTCCTCCAGGCGGTGGTCATGTATAAATCTCCACCTCGGAGAGAAGAAATCGGAGCTCAGCTCGAAATCCCCAGTCGAATCGAATCGGAATCGGAAGCCCCCGTAGTCGAATCGAACCGAAGCAGAGGAATCGAAGCGAACCCTGCCCTGGGCGGACGGGGGCTGTTTCTGTTTGATGCCTCCCTGTTTGATGCCTCCCGGAGGGGGGATTTCCGGCACGGGCTGGCCGACCCCCCCCCTTCCTTGGGCGGGCGGTGATGGAGGGTGACCTAACTGGGGGGTGGAGAAAAGGGCCCCGAAGAGGCCCTCAAGGGCCCCTTCTGGAGCTGGCAGGGGCCCCAAAGAGGGGCCCTGCCCAAGATGGCCCCAAGAGGCCCCCAAGGGCCACAAGAGGGCCCCAGGATGGCTCCGAAGACCTCCAAAACGGCCCCGGCTCCCAGAGCGTGACTACATGCCGCTACACATCCCTGATCGGGACAGCTCGCCTGGTGGTTGTCTTTGGATGGGCTTTCTGGGGGCTATTTTTTTTTGTCGCGAGCGCCAACGGTACAGCCGCGCGCCGTCAGAACGAAGCTACAATGCAACGGCCTAAATGTTTTCTGGGGGCACTTTTTCTGTCGCGGCCGCAAGCGAAGGCGCAGGCGGCGGGTAAGTAAGTCCGGGGCGCAGTTCTTATTAATTTACAGCGAGCAGCAAACTAGAGCGCGGGGTCAAATTTAAGCTGCCTAGGCCGCCTAAGCTACCTTTGCAGCGCAGCTCGCTTTCTGGGGGCACGCGAAGCGTCACGAATGTTTCCCTCCTCTCCTAATCTGCTTGTTTTCCTGGCGGGGGGATCATCTCGGGGGGCGAGGGGCTCGGGATCGCCTGCGGCCGAGGGCCTCCCTGGAGGGCGAGACGCCCTGCGAGGCCAGGCGGCAGGCGGGGAGCGCGCAGCTCCCCAGGGAGCGAAAGAGAGAGAGAGAGAGCGGCTCGCAGACGCTGGAGCTCTTCGCCCCGCCCTCACTTGCCAGCCTCGAACGTATCCCTATCCCTAAGATTGACACGCCAAAAGGCGATGACAATCTTAGGGATTCGCCCTCAACAAAAATAAGGGAATCCCTAAGATTGACATCGTGATGAGGAGGTGCCCAGCATAGGGATAGGGATATGTTCCAGGCTGGTAACTCACGCAGTGCCCTCCCAAGACGGAGCCAGGACGAGGAGAAGTCCCGGTGAAAGGAGAAGCCGAAGACCTCTGAGACCCCGCGGCCCCGGAGGCTGCCTCCGGGCGCCGCGGCCTTCTCAGAGCGCTCCAGAGCGTTCTGAGAGCGCTCTGGACCGCTCTGGAACGGATCTGCCCTCGTCCTGCCCCGCCCGCCCTCTCCCCGCCCCCCTCCCCCCCCCCTCTTCTGGCCACGTGCGCGCGCCAGAGCGACCTCGATCGTGCAGGGGTGCACAGCTGGTGCGCGGCCCCTTGGGCGCCAGGCGGGGAGGCCGCGCGCCCAGTGCGCAGGCCGAGGCCATGGAGGACCCCCCCGGGTGTAGCCCCGCACCGACGGCCACTCCGGCGAGGGCTCCCCTCTCGCGCGCGCAGTCGGCGCTGCCTGCAGAGGTCACGCGAGTCGGCGCCCCTCGAACGGGGACTCCACGAATGGGCACTTTGGCCAGTGACCCGCCGCACCCGACTCTCCCCGATGTGGGCCACGCTGCAATGCCGGAAAGAGGCCCCAAAGTGGCAACTTTCGGGCCATCTCCAAAGCACCCCGTTAGTGAGTACCGGCTGCGGCGTCGCTGAGCGAGAGGACGCGAGACCCTTCCGAAGGTCACCTCAAAAATTGCAGGACCACAGAGGACATAGGGGCGCACAACACAGGGCACGCGGGCTCCCTCGCTTTGAAGGACCGTCCTACAGTGGAGGCCAGTCCACATGAAACCTTCCACAAGAAAACCAACCCTGAGACCCCAAGACGCCCATTGGTTTTTGGTGTCGGAGCGTCACGCTTCCCATCGCAAGACCATCGAAACCCAAGAAACCCAGGGCACCCTGGAGGCAAGCAGGGCGTTTCTTTGCATGGGCCCCCACTGTACTCATCAGACTCGGCTGTAGGAGGAGGATGAGGAGGAGGAGAGAGGAGGAGGAGGAGGAGGAGGAGGAGGAGGAGGAGGAGGAGGAAAAGGAGGAGGAGAGGGAGGAGGAGGAGGAGGAGGAGGAGGAGGAGGAGGAGGAGGAGGAAGGAGGGGAGGAGGAGGAGGAGGGGAGGAGGAGGAGGAGGAGGAGGATGGGGAGAGAGGAGGAGGAGGAGGAGAGGAGGAGGAGAGAGGAGGAGGAGGAGGAGGAGGAGGAGGAGGAGGAGGAGGAGGAGGAGGAGGAGGGGAGGAGGAGGAGGAGGAGGAGGAGGAGGAAGTGGAGGAGGAGGAGGAGGCGCGAGGAGGAGGAGGAGGAGGAGGAGGAGAGGAGGAGGAGGAGGAGGAGGAGGAGAAGGAGGAGGAGGAGGAGGCGCGCCGGCCGCAACCGCTGCCCCGCTCTCTCGGTTCCCGGGCGGCGCCAGCGCTGCGCCGCCCGCCGCGGCCGTCCTGTGCGCGCGCACACCCCCGCGGGAGCGGCGCCGCCGCGGCAGGGCCGAGGCATCCTGAAGATCGATGTGCTCAGGCAGGATACTCGTGCCGGCAGAAATTCTCCAGCGACCCCGTTCCGATAGGGCATTGCTTCGGCTTGCAGGGGCACCACCTCGCCACGCTCAGCCCGCCCCTGACCTTCTTGCCCCAGTCCACGGCCAGGCGCCAGGGCTCCGGGCACGGGCCGCTGCGCGACCACGGGATGCCGGCCTGCAGGGACCTCGAAACGTTGTAGGTGTTCGTCACGAGGCAGCCGACCATCGTGTCCTCCCCGGGCTTGCCCTTGCAGGCCTCTACGTGAGTGTGTTTGAAGATGCACTCCAGCACGGGGCGGGAAACTATGTAGAACTGCCCCTGCATGAAGTACCCGCTCTGGTACTTGCCGTAATACACGCCATGCCCCTCCACCCACGGCGTCGGATTCGAGGTGGGCATGATTTTCTTCGACTTGATGCCCGCAGGCGAGTGCGGCAGGTCCTCCAGGTCCCCCAGAATCTCGGCGACGAACGGGAAGTTGTCCATGTCGTTCTTGGCGTAGTGCGTGACCCAAGGGAAGTTCTTCCAGGCATACTGGAACGACTTGAGCACCTTCTCCTTCACCTCTGGGTTGAAGTTCGGCTTCACCAAATGCTCGGAAGGGACCCACACCTTCCCTTCCTTGAGGCCTTTCCAATCCGATGGCGGCTTTTTCTTGGGAATTTTCCTGAAGTCCCACCGATCAAAGGTATCCAATAAAACGATGTCCTTCTTCGCCGACATCTCCTTCCGAAGATATGCGTCCGTTTTTTGTCGAACCCAACGAAGAAGGCGACGAAGGCGCTGCAGCCGGGGGGCTCTTGGACCACATCGTTCGTCAGGGTGCAGATGCCGGGAAGGCTCATCCACGTCTCCCGATGAACCTGCCTCAGCTTGGCCTCCTTTGGAATCGTGGTGACCATGATGAGGAGCTTTACCTTGGCACTCGGCTTCGGCAGGGGAGTGTGCCACCAAGAAAGGATCTTGCCGAAGTTCTGTCGGAACAGCGCCACGTCCTCGTCTGGCACCTGCGGCACGTCCGGAGGCCAATTGAGTTCCTGTGCGTCCGCCTTGGCATTGGACTCCACGTCCGCCTTGGTCGTCGCATCTGTGTCCGTGTTGGCTGTAGCCCCTGCGTCCACCTTGGCCTTGGCCTCTGCGTCAGCCTTGCTGGCCTCAGCAGCCGCTTTGGCCTCGGCCTCTGCGTCCGCCCTGGCCTTGGCCTCGCCCTCCGCCTGGCTCGCGCCGGCGAGGCCCTCCGCGGCACCAGCGGCCGCGCCGGGGCCCGCGGGCTGCGCCGCCGCCTCGGGACTGCCGGCCTCGGCGCCAGCGGCCGCGCCAGCGCCGACGGGCAGCCCAGCTTCGCCGGCGGCCGGGCCAGCCGGCAGTGCGGCGGGCTGGGCGGCGGCGGCCGAGCCGCCGCCGCCCGGGCCATCGTTCGCAGCGGACTCGCCTGCGCAGCCCTTGCCCCCCGCGCAGGGGCGGCCCCAGCACAGCCTCCCAGACAGCGCGGGCGGCAGCCCCGCGCCCCCCGGGCCAGCAGCCAGCAGGCCGTGGAAGGCGAAGACGCACGTCAGGAGCGCGAGGACGCCGCAGAGCAGCCAGGGCCGGCACGGCGCCCTCGGCGGGCCCATGGCCCCGCGCCTGGGCGGGGCGCTATGTGCGCCCCCCATCCCCCCCCCGGGCGCGCGCCGCAGGCCGAGCGCTGGCGCGCGGCCTTGAGCCAAAATGGCTACGGAAGGAGGAGGAGGAGGAGGAGGAGGAGGAGGAGGAGGAGGAGGAGGAGGAGGAGAATGAGGAGGAGAGAGGCCGACCCCCTGTGTGTGGCCTGCTGCCCGTCAGCCACACGTCTGCCGAGCGCGGGCGGCCCCGCGCAGCGCGCGCCACGGGCCCCGAGCACGGGTGGCCCAGAAGAGGGCTGGTCGGCCAGGCTCAGGTCGGGCATGTCCTACAGGGGGGCCTTTGGACGAAGAATCCAACGTACCCCACAAGTAACCAATAACAGTCACACAAATACTCGACAAATCGTCCCCAGACGATTGGTTGTCGGACGAAGAATCGAGCATACCCCAAAAGTGATCAGAAGCAGTCAAAACATACTCGACAAATCGTCCCCAGACGATCTGTTGTCGGACGAAGAGTCGACCAGACCCCAAAGGTGATCAGAAGCAATACTCGACAAATCGCCCCCCAGACAATTTTTTTAAAGCTATGTTTGACGATTCCCCCTGCAGAAGGGGCAGACCCGACGGAGGGCCAGGCCCGCGCAGCCCGAGCCCTCCAGGGCCACGGGAGGGCGCCCTGGAAGCGCCCTGGAAGCGAGCGCAGAGACGCAGACGCCGGCGCGACGCCGCCTGGGCGTGCCGCTGTCCAGATGCTGTCTTCTCGTCGCCTTAGGTCGGGCGCGTCCCCCTACAGGCGGGCGCGAGCCGTAAAAATGAAAGATGCCCCCCCAAATATGCAAACAGGTGCAAGACTGATCCCAAAGTCGTCCCAAAAACTATGTTTTGACAGTGTTTGAGTACTTCTCCTGTAGAGGGACCGTTGCCAGGTAGCGCGAGGCCCCGGAATGTTCGAAGCTTTCCCTTGGGACGCATCTGTGTTTGCCCAGTGATCTTCTTTTGTTCTGGCTGCCACAGGGCCCCGAACAAGAACACCCTTCGGGGCTGAGGGTTGCGAAGCGACTCCGCGCCTATCTGGCGGGCTCTGGAATCCCTGCACGGTAGGGTCGGTGCATGCGGCGCCGGCGTGCGCAAAGGGTTTTTTGTCACCGCGTCGATCGTCCAACCCTGAATCGATCGTGGCCCCGATCGTTCAAGATTCCTGACGAACCAACAACAATAGGGGGGTCGGAGAGGGCTATGGGTGCGTGTTGTCGGATGGGGGTCCCCGTTCGAACGGGAGCGTTCCCCAGGGTCCGACAACCCGCACCCATACCCATAGCCAGTCCTCCTCCCAACGACCCCCCTATGGGTATGGGTGTGTGTGTGTGTGTTCGTTCGTCGATTCAATTCCGTCGGGTCCAGTGGAGTCACCGTGTGCCTCGGTGCTTCCGCGTCGCCATATTCAGCCTCGGACGCCTGCGCTGGCGTCGCCTTTCGCGCCATCGCCGCGGGAACCTGCCGTACCCAAGAATGCTGGCATCTCTCGAGGGAGCACCGCCGCCCCTGCTCTGCTCCCACCACCTGCCGCCGGCCGTCCACCCGTAGCAACCACGCTCACCTCTTCGATCCTCCAGAGGGGAGGGCCCTTTCTGGAGCGAGCCTCTTCAGAGGCCCCCCAGATGGAGTCCGAGTAGCCTCGAGTTACTACCAGAAGGAACGCTGACTAAGGAACGAAGGGGCTTTTTGAGAGACAGTGGGCCTAGGCCACAAACAGATCCCGCGACAAGAAACGAAGAAACGACCCGAAATCTCGAGCCCCTTCCGAACCTAAAGCGGTCCCTACTTCAGCGTCTTGGCTGAATCTGGTGTCGGAGGATCGCGCCGCATCGCCAAGGCATCGCCGATGCATCGGCGATGCACCGGCGACGTCGGCGATGCATCGGCGACGCTGGCTCGGAGAAAATCAGGCTCCACATCGAGCCGCCTCGCCGATGCACAGGCGATGCGGCGAGATCCCCCGACCCCATCTGCTGGGACCCCATCTGGGAGGCCCATACTTTTGCCCAAGACGATGTACGCCTGGCTTCCTCGCACAGCGGCGTGCGCGGCTGGCGGGGCCCTTGTGACCTCGCTGCGCGCACGCCTGCTCCCGGGCGCGCCGGTGGCGCCCTCGCGGCGCCCAACGAGCTCCGTCGCGCCAACCACGGCAGGCACGATCCTCCTCCATCTCTTTTCCATATAATCGGCGGTGGACAAACCTCCCTTTAGTAGACCTCCCCTTGGTGAAATCGGCCTGGGACCGAAACCGACGGACCTGGACCCGCAAAGATGACGGCCCCGACGCCCCCTCGCGAACCGAAAACGGCCAACTCCTTCATCGATAGACGCGTCAGGGTAGGAGGCCTCTCCACCCCCGATATAACAGGCGGTCGGGAACTTTGGGGCAGCGCGTCGCCGCGGCGGCCCCGGCGGCACGCTGTGCCCTGCGAGCGGATAAGCAGCGTGCCGCGCCGCTGCGCGGGCCAGCCGAGGCTCGGGCAAGCTCCGGGCGTGGACGCCCGTGGGCCAGGGAGCGGATGCCGCTCCCAGGGGGCGGTGGGCCGGAGGCGGCGGAGCGGCACGCGGCCCCAGAGTTCCCGACCGTGTGGTCCCTCGAGCGCTTCGGCCAGAGCCCTTCCACGTCCGAGCGCCCTCCCCTCCCCCCTCCCCCCGCGCTGCCGTCCTCGTCCTCTCTGCTTCCTCCGTCACGCCGGAGAACTCGCCTATCGGTTGCCCCGATGAGCACCACGCTGGAGCGGACTGCCTCTGCCTCGCCGCCGACGAACAACGTGTGCTCCTTCGAGCGACCCCCACCCCAGAAAGTACCGAGTGTCGAGCTATCCGGCATTGTCGTTGAGAGAAAGACTACAATACCGCGGTGACGCTGCTCAGCCTGACGGAGCTGCTTCGGCCACAGGCCCGCCGGCACCCGATCGAGGTATACACGACGGTGGGGCGAGGCGGGATCCGCAGCGGACGCGGGGCCCCTCGGGGCCTGGTGGCAACTGTCGGGTGGTCGCTAATGGCAGCTGCGAGGCGGGAGGCCCTGGGAACGTTGGGTGCCCCTTGGGGCCTGGCGCCCGCGGGTACGGTCCTCGAGGAGACAGGGCCCTCCACCTCGTCGTCGTCGTCGTCCTCCTCCTCCTCGTCATTCTCCTCCTCGTTCTCGTTGTCGTCCTCGTCCTCGTCCTCGTTCTCGTCCTTGTCCTCCTGCTTCTTTTTTGTTGTCCTTTTTCTCCTCCTCCTCCTCCTGCTCCTCCTCCTCCTCCTCCTCCTCCGCCCTCTCCGCGGTACGGTCATCGTGGTAGCTTGTAAGGGGCGCTGAGGAATGAGCGAGGGGGGCGTTCCTGGCCACCGCGAGCCTCGTTTCCAGAAGCGGAGAGTTGCGGGTGGAGGGCGGCTCTGTTTCAGAACGAGGCTCCCGCTGGATCGACAGGCTCATATGGGGCTCCGGCCTCTCGCAAGTGGTGGCCGGCGACGTGCAGAGGGATGCCAGTGGGGACTCATGGCGAGGGGACGTGGAGAGGGGTGGTGTACTGCAGCATCGCTGCTGCACCTTGGGTTCAGTATGGCTTTCCGCCTCTTCCTCCTCCCCCAAACGAGACGAATGAGGACAGTCAGCAGCAGGAGAAGACCAGCAGGAGAAGGAGGCGCCGGAGGAGGATGAGGAGAATGAGGCGGGGAGGGGGATCTACGGTAGGTTTGCGTGCTGGCTCTTCTTTGTTTTCCCTGGGATCCCCAGGAACCTCTGGGGGACACCTGGAGACATCTACCCCTGGGAACCTCCAAAGATCTCTGGAGACCGAGTCCTATGGCGACAGCGGCCGCGTCCAAGCACCTGGGCAGCCCCGAAAACAACTGAGGATGAGAAGCTAGTCCTGGGGAAAGGGGTCGAGAGCTCTGGGGGCCGGCGACTCGAACGAATCGAGTCGTCGCAGGTCTCTCTCCTCTTGCTGCTGGTCCTCCTGCCTCTCCTGCCGCTGCTGCTGCTGCTGCTGCTGATCCTCCCCCTCGTGCTCAATCCCTTCTGCACGCGGGCCCCCTCGACTGGCTGCAGGGGAGCGCGTAAAATGTGTAAGCAGCTGCTAGAACTTCTTACTAGGCTCGGAACCCTCCGCTGAGTACGAAGCACCGCCGACCGCCGCGATGGCGCTTCCGGCGGTGCACGGCGCACTGCCATCGTGGGGATCTTTGTCGAACCCACCAATACATCTTAGTGCGGTGCCACTGCGCTTCAGGCAGTGCGCAGCACAACACAGGCATCGCGGGCTCTGATGGCTGTCGCGTGGCATGCATGCCGCCGCGTGCAGACCGCAGACGGCCCGCACCGCTCGTGGAAGACGCGCGCGTGTGCAGTGCGGCCCCGCCGGCACTCGGAGCAGCATGCGCACGCCCGAGCACATGGTCCATGGCTGGCTTCATTTCTCTCCCCCCCCATTGCCCTGCCGCCCTCCCGCCCTTCCCCCTTCCCATCCTCTTCCTCCTCCTCCTCCGCCTCCTCCCTCTCCTCCTCCTCCTCCCTCCTCCTCCTCCTCCTCCTCCTCCTCCTCCTCCTCCTCCTCCTCCTCCTCTCCTGCCCCTCCTCCTCATGCTCCTCCTCCTCCTCTTCCTCCTTCTCCTCTCCTCTTCCACTTCCTCCCCCTCTTCCACTTCCTCCTCCCTGCCCCTTCCTTCTCGTCCTCCTCCTCCTCCACTTCCTCCTCCTCCTCCTCCTCCTCCTGCTCCTCCTTCCCACCCTCCTGCTTATCCTCCTCCTCCTCCTGTTTCTCCCCCCTCTCTTCTGTTGAAAGTTTTGGAAGCCTTCGACAATGTCACCCCGGACTCCCTCGACCCCGCTCATCCACTCCCGTCCAGAGGCACCTCCTCGAATCCATCTTCGAGCCCCTCGTGGGCCCTTGGGGTCATCCCAAAGCCAACTTTCGCTGTTCAGGGCCCTCGTGGTGCCATCCTGGGGCCTTTGGGAGCCATCTTGGGGCCTCTTCGGGCCGTCCCGAGCCGCTGCGAACCACCGGGGAATCACTGCACTCTCCCCTCGCCCTGGACCTCGGCACGGACAGCGGCGCCGCGCGGGCCGGCTATTTAGACGGCTGCGGACAGCCCGAGGCCGACGCCGGTGATTGCCGCAGTGCCGAGCCCGAGGTCGTTGCCGCCGGCGTCCTTGTCCTGCTTGAGGTCTCCGCCGGGGCCTGGGGGGCGAGGAGGACACCCAGGTCTCTGCCCCGTTTCGGGGGCGTGTGGCCCTCCCCCTGCTTTTTGCTTCTTCTTTTTTTTCTTCTCTCTCTCTCTCTCTCGCTCACACACACATTGATAATACGCGACGCTGTGTCTTTGTCTGGAAGAAAGGACAGGTCAGGAGGATAAGGAAGGAACGGGAGAGTATGCACTTGTTGTCTTGTTCGCGTGGCTTCTCTTTGGCCTCCCAGGGAGCCCTCGTGGCTGTAACTTGGTCCGCCTGGAGATTCCGATCGGAGCGCGCACTGGGACGGGTCGGGGGGGTCCACTCGAGAGTGGGAGGAGGAGGACGACGAGGATGACGACGAGCGAGAGGAGAAGAAGAAGAAGGCTGACGAAAAGGAACAGGACGTGGCGGGAAGCGGGCTGACAAAAAGAGGCAGGACGTGACGGTGAATACAGCCGAGGCCAACAAATCCATGCAGCTTCCTCCACGTCCACTGCTCTCCCCCTCCCTCCCTCCCGTCTCCCTCCCTTCTTCTGCTCCTCCACGTCCGAAACTTGATCGGCACTGGCTGCATGCTCGCCCCTTGCAAACGGCGTGCCGCTGCTGGGATGCTGGGTACCTGCAAGACCACTCGCCGCCGCCATGCCGACCGTCTACGGATGAGGAAGAAGAGGGGGAGGAGAAGGCGGATGAGAGGGGGAACCCATCTTCTTGTCGCATTTGCTGCCGAACCTGATTGATGGCAGCTGTGCTGGAGTCGGCTTCCTTGCACCATGCTGCCTCTTTACATCCTGACGCTACTGCCTCGTTGATCCGAGCTTGCCGAGCGTCAAAGGCAGCAATACGACGATGTGCGAAGACGCGGAGGCGAAGGCGCACCTACCGTTAGTGTCGGCCGTTCTTACGTCTCGCCAAGGGCGGCGCCGGAGGCGGATCCCAGAAATCCGCGCGGAGCGCCGCAAAGATTTATGGTTATGGCGTTGTTTCTCCTTCGACTTGCCTCACCCCCTGCGCAGCTTCTGATATGCGCGCATTGCACAAGGAACCATGTGTCCAGCACCTGGAGCCTCAGTGGGCCGAGCTTCCCTCAACTGCTCGGCAGAACTCCCACACAGAAAACAAAAACGCATCCACCCTTGCAAAGCAACCACCTCATACTAAAACATGGCTAGGATCGGGATAAATCGCTCCAGAGCGTTCCGGAGCGCTCTCAGAGCGTTCCGGAACGCTCTGGAGCGGCCGCGGCGTCCAATACATCCTCCAAGCCCGCCGATTCTCAGAGATGTCGAGTTATCCCGATCCGATTTTGTCCCGATTTCCGCGTCGTTTTGCATACCCTCCCCCCCGACATCCTGGTGCCACCCCCCTTCGCGTGAACCTGCAACCTCCGCGCTCGCTCCCTCGTGGAGCATATGCTACCGGAAACCTGGAGACTGCTCCCGCCCAATCCGAGCCTTGTCGCAGACGAGCCGACAGCCGACACACCTCCATCCGGGACCTCCGATGCCCACCGCTTGGTACGCGCGGGCCCGTGAGCTCTCGACCTCTTTATATATATATATATATTATATATATATATATATATATATATTTATATATATATATATTTATATGGGTTTTATTTTTTTAAAAAAAAAACATATGTTTTTGTGTTCCGGACGTCTCTGTGGTGGCGGCCCCCCGAGGTCGAACATGAAGGGGCCAACTCCCGCCGTGATGTTGTCGAGACGTTGGAGCTCCGGAGCTGCAGCCCTCGCCGTCGTCCTCCCCGCCCCCGGACCTCAGACTGCAGCGCAGGCGGTGCAGGGCAGAGGGCGGCCGCCGCCCGAGCCTCCCCGCGCCGTCAGCAGGGTGGGCGACCTGCCAGCGTGCCACTCTCTCGCAGCGCTGCAGAGGGGCTGACTTGCTCCGCACGCGGGGCCCCGCTCGCCAAGCAGACACTGACGCCGCTGCTGCTGCTGCCGCTGCTGCTGCTGCTGCTGCTGCTGCTGCTGCTGCTGCCGTGCTGTCCCCCCCGCCTGGCGCCGGTGCCTCCGCCCTGGGGAGGCCCACGGCAAGAGCCCCGGCCGGGCCCCCTGAAGGAGGCTCCCCGATCAGTGGGGGCGCCAGGTGGACGGGCCCCCGGCGGGCCTGGCAGGGAAACCGTGCGCGATCGCTCTTTCTCGCAACCTGCGTTCTCGCCTCTGAGGGGCAACGACAGGGGGGGGGCTGGCATACGTCAGGGTCGTGTTCTGCCGACTTCGGCGTTGGTTTCTGACACCGCGGGGATCGTTCTACCATGAACGATCGGCCGTTTCCGAAACGTCCATATCGTTCCACATCGAACGATGCTGGGTCGCCCGCGACGTTCAAAGTTGAACGCAGCTGGCGGGGTCGACGCCGGTCGACACGACACTAACCTACCGTAGGGGGGGATGCATCGACCTGGAATCGGCGATACATCGCCGATAGATCGGCGATAGGCCTCCGATAGTGAATCCGCACCTTCCTGGGCAGGTTGGGGCTATCGGGCCCCTTGTCGGCGATCAACGGGCGATTGGGGGTCGATGCATCCCCCCCTATGCTCAGGTCGGGCATGTCCCCTTACAGGTAGATGTAGGAGGAAACAATTACAATAGCAATCAAAACATCAAAACAGAAATGACCAAACATCGCAGAACAATCGTGCCCTGACTATTTTTGAGTACTCCTCCTGTAGAGGGACACGCCCGACTCGTGCCTACCCCCCCCCTGTCGTTGCCCCTGACCCTCGAACCCGCCGCCCGTGCCCCTGCTGCTGCGCCGCCTGCTGGCCTGCCCTCCCCCCCGTCCTTCCCCCCCCTCTCTCACTCCTCCTCCCCAGGCCTTCCTCGCCGCTCCCCGTCGTCTCCGCCCCGCCCCTGCTCCTCCTCCTCCTCCTCCTCGCCACTCCCTTCTCCTCCTCCTCCTCCTCCTCCTCCTCCTCCTCCTCCTTCGCCTCCGCCTCCGCCTCCGCCTCCGCCTCCTCCTCCTCCGCGATCCCTCCTCGTGCTCGCCGTCCTCGCCCAGCTCCTGCGGCTCCTCCTGGAGCCCACGCCCGCCCCCCCCCCCCCCCTGGCAGCAAAAACCGTGGGGCCGGGCCTCCCTCCGGGCGCGCCCTCGGGGTCCGCGCCAGTGCCTCGCGGGGAGGATGATGCGCGGTCAGAAAAAGGCGAGCGGGCGATGTGAGTCGACGCTGGGACCAGGACAAGAGCGGGCCAGAGCGAATTGGGAATGCAGTCGAGCTGCTGCGGTAAGGAATGGCAGATGAGGAACGAGGCCCCTTGGTTGTCACCAGGAGGGCTTGGCTCTGGAGTATGAAGGGCGCCGGGGCCGTGCCAGAGCGCTCTGGAACGGCTACTCCCAATCCTAGCCGTGCCCGGCGATTTGGCGGCGCGCAGGATGGTAACTTCTGAACTTCGTCGGGGCCTGGAACCTGCAGCGGCTCGACGAAATTGCACCGTGCTCGTTTCTCGCGCACGCTTCGGCGTCTGGGAGCCGCTGCGGGGCCCCGGGACCGGCCAAAAACGACTCCAGATGAAAAACGCGGGTCCTGGGGATGGGGTCGGCCCCGCTGCGCAAGAATCTTCGACTAGGAAATCGACGACATAATTTGGGGTCGTGACGAGGATTGGGGATGAGAGGCGAGAAGGGAGAATGGCGGCGCGGAGAACACAGGGCGGAGAGAAGCAGGGGAGGAGGGGGGGAGGAGGGATACAGCGCCTCCCACGTGTTTACTCACATTTAGATACACACATATAGAGGTGCATTTGAATTCACGTATATGCATACAATCATGCAAGCATGCAAACGTGCAATCATACAAACACACGTACATCCAACCATCCATCTATACATACCTACATCCATACGTACATACATGCATATACGCCCACATACATACATACTTGCAAACCTGACTACATGCATACACACATAGAGACATGCATCTGTGTATATGTACAAACATACATGACTTCATACGAACGCACACGCATATACATTTATAGATGTATATATATACACATGCACGTATGCATACATACGTACATGTATACGTATATACATACATGCGTACGTACATACATGAACACACACACATCCAGACACACATGCACACACACGCATACATACATACATGCAGACATGCAAACACACATACACATGCACATACATTAACATACACACATGCGTACCCATACCTGCACACGCATACATACATGCATATATACATACATGCGCACATACATATATGCATGCGTACATACACACAAACGCACGTACACACATCCATACACACATACATGCATACATACGTACATACATACATACACACATACATATATACATACATGCATACATCACCAAACACATACATACATACACATGCATGCATGCATACACATACATGCATACATACAAAACTTTATACACTTACGCATATATACGCATACGCACATACAACATACGTACAGACATACGTACACATACACACATACGTACATACATACATACATACATACATGCATGCGTGCGTGCATACATGCATACACACATTCGTACACCCATACACACAAGTACATACATCCACATAGACATGCACACATGCATGCATACATACATTCGCATGAAACCATACATACATGTACACATGCATATACACTCGTTTATATATATATACATATATATATGTATGTAGATGCGTGTACATATTCGAAAACAAAATAGACAAGACTCATGTTGGGAAGGAGGGGTTGGTAAGGTACACGATGCGACCGTGGAATAAACACCCTCAACACACCCGACAAGATGGATGACCAGATCATTTCTCCCAGCCCGCTCCTCCCACCCCGATCACTGCTTTCTTCCGATGTCTGGGGGAGGAAGAAGCACCGCGCCCAGGGGAGCCGCGGCGGCTGACGATTCACAAGACGCTCTCCGCCCATCCACTTCTACGACCCCAACCGGACCCCGGCGGTGGGGGGTGCGACGTCTTTAAATGGCCCCAGCGGGCGTTCGAGGCTCGAGGAGGAGGCATCGGGCGCCGCGGCCGCTCCAAGGAGCTCCGGAGCGCTCTGAGAGCGTTCTGGGCGCTCCGGAGATCTGTTCTCATCCTAGGCCTGTCTGAGGGACCCTGTGGAAGCATTCTGGCCGCTCTCAGGCTGACTGCGCTCCAGCCAGTCAGTTCAGCCATCCTGGAGCCGCCTCTGCGACTCGTGTGCCGGGCCGCTGGCTTAAACCTCCGACGACTTCGTTGAAAAGATTATTATCGTGGTGGGGAAAAATGGTTGGGAAGATACAGGGCGCGAATTCTGTAATGAACGCACCGTCAACGTACGCGATCGAACGGATGATCTGACCCTTTCCCCAAACCCCATCCTCCCAACCCGATAACGGTCTTTCTGACTCATTTGCATTAACGCGCGGACCCTCGATCCCTTACCGGAGACAGCTGGTCCATTGGTCGGTTCGTCACGTAGTCCTGGGGCCCAGAGGCTGTCCCCAGAGGCTGCACACTGTACAAACCTCTGCTCCCCTTTGGTGTGAAAGCGCGGGGGGTCTGGGCAGGTCTTCCTGCGGCCCCCCCAGACCAAGCAGGGCCGCGGAACCTCACGCGGGCAAATACACAGGGCCGAGGAGGCCGGGGCGGTGCCGCCCGGTGAGGCATCTCACGCGGATCAAGAGGTGTCAAATATCCTTCCTTTTCCTCCTCCCCCTCCCTGCGCTGGGAGGGAGGCCCGGGGGTGGTGGCGAGGGGCAGACGCCGCCACAAGCGCGCCTTGCGTGGAGCAAGCTGTGTCAGACTTCCATCCCCCTCCTCTTTCTCCTCCTCCTTCACCTGCGATCGTACCTTGGACAACGTCTGATCATCCTCTCCTGCCCGGCAAGGGCGGCGGCGCCTGGCTAGAGGGAGCAGTCCCCCCCCCCTCCTCCTCCTCCTCCTCCTCCTCCTCCTCCTCCTCCTCTTCCTCCTCCTCCTCCTCCTCCTCCTCCTCCTCCGCCTCCTCTTCCTCCTGCTCCTGCTCTTGTTCTTCTTCTTCTTCTTCTTCCTCCTCCTTCCTTCTCCTCCTCCTCCTCCTCCTCGTCATCCTCCTCCTGTTTTTCCTGTTTCTCCTGTTTCTCCTCCTCCTCCTCCTCCGCCTTCTCCCTGTTGCTTCTCCTGGGAGGAGCATTGGGGTGGTGGCGAGGGGAGGCCGCCGACGTCGACGCCCAGGCCGATGTGCATCCGCTCAGAGCTTGGCCCTCCTGGGGCCCTCCTGGGGTCCGTCCTGGCGACAAGTCCCCCCTGGGAGTGCCAGGCCGTGGCGACGAGAATCTCCAGAGGAGACGCCGGGCAGCCTCCGGGACGACGGCGACGCCAGCGCCGATGCCGACGCCAACGACGACGAAGCTGACGCCAACGACGACGACGACGACGACGACGACGACGACGACGACGACGACGACGACGACGACGACGACGACGACGACGGCATCGACGACGACGGCATCGCCGACGACGCAGACGACGCCGACGCCGACGACGGCGCCAGCATCTGTGGGGGAGCGTCAGGGGGGACGAGATCGATGGGATGCACGGTGGACGTCGACATGGAATCGGCGATGCATCGCCGATAGATTGGCGAGGCTCCTGGGCTTTGTGGGCTATCGGGCCGCCAATCGGTGATCAGTGGGCGATTTTGGTCGATGCATTCCCCTCTGAGAGTATCCCCATCCCCGGGGTTGTTTGGGGTCATAACTCGGCTTCCCTGCAGCCGTTCGGGAAGATCCTGGCACCCCCAGGACGGTCTCGGCGAGGCGACGCCGCTGAAGGCGCCCGGAGGTCAGAAGACAGCCGAGAACCAACGAAAGCGCCCGAAAACCTCGAACATCGAACCTCGATTGCCTCCCCCCCCCGGGGCCTATCCCCCCCCCCCCAAACGTTGCCGCTGCCCCTGAGCGTTAAGACAAAGCCAAGACGAGGACACATTCGGACGAGGATACATCGGGAATCTCTGAGATCCGGTGGCTCTGGAGGATCTATCGGGCGCCGCGGCCTTCTCAGAGCGTTCTGGAACGCTATGAGAGCGTTCCGGAACGCTCTGGAGCGGACTTCCCAGACCCTGACGTCGTGATTTTTCCGAGACGTCGACCACCAGGGGTCTGGACCCCTTCGCCGGGACAGGTTGTTCATCCTGAGTCGCTTCTGTTGCCGGCCCCGAGGCCCGGCGAGGGCCCCTCGAGGCAGAAAAATACGAAAAACCTCCGTATTGTTTTTTCCAACGCGCTGGATCTCTGGGCTATCCTCGTCCTAGCCTCGTCAAGTTGCGTCTCGGCCCCCACGTTCGGGCCTGGCTGCTCCGCTGGCTGCGCCAACGGCGCCTCCTCGCACGCCTCGCGCGCCTCGCGGAGACGGCTGGCCTGGCGGCGGGCGCGCGCGGGCGGCTCGGCGGCGGCCGCGGACGCGGCTGCCGCCAGCGGTGGGAGTGGGTTTCCAGGAAAGTCTTCGGACGCGTTCGTCTTCGTCTCTTCCGCCTCATCCTTCTCCTTCTCCTTCTCCTTCTCCTTCTCCTTCTCCTTCTCCTCCTCCTCCTCGTCATCATCATCATCATCATCATCATCATCATCATCATCATCATCATCATCATCATCATCATCATCATCATCATCATCATCATCATCATCATAATCCTTGTCCTCTTTCCCTTCCCCCCGTCCTCCTGATCCCCTGCCTCCTCCCGACCCCCTCCTCTTCGTCCTCCTCCTCCTTCCCATCCCCCTGCTCCTCTTCTACTTCCTCCTCCCCCTCACCCCTCCTCTTCCCCTTCCCCTCCTCCCTCCCCTTCCTCCTCCCTCCTCCTCCTCCTCCTCCTGTTCCTCCTCCTCCTCCTCCTCCTCTTCTCCTCCTCCCCCTCATCCGTCTTCTTCCCCCCGTCCTCCTCCTTCCCATCCTCCTTATCCGCGCCCCCCTCCTCTTCGTCGTCGTCCTCCTCCTCCTCCTCCTCATCTTCCTCTGCTCCTCCTCCTCCTCCTCCTCCTCCTCCTCTTCCTCTCTTCCTCTTCCTCCTCTTCCTCCTCTCCTTTCCTCCAACTCCTCCTCCTCCTCTTCGTCCTCCTCTTCCTCCTCCTCCTCCTCCTCCTCCTCCTCTTCCTCCTCCGTTTTCTCCTCCTCCTCCTCCTCCTCTTCCTCCTCCTCCTCCTGCGACGCAGATTGACGACAACAGAGGGGTCAGTGATCCGGCCCCCTACAGCTGCACTACGCTCGGGATCAGATCACCTCCGAGCTTTCAGGGACGAAAGGACGGAGCGCGACTGGAATGCACCCCGAGAAAGCAGCTTCAACCGATCGAGGCCCTTCGGCTCCCTCCTGCCCCGCGCCGAAGGATGCCCACATGACTGCCCCAACTTGAGGGCCTGGTGCGCGGACATGGCTCCGCACGCAACGCAAACACCACCACTGGGCGAGCCACCGCGCTCCTCATTGGCCCGCCTGCGGAGCGAGTGCCCCCCCGCGCGGCGGAGAGGGGGCCGACGGGCAGGCGGGGCGAGGGCGGCGACAGCAGCGGCGGCTGCCGCAGTCCTGGCCTGCACGCGCATGGCGCGGGCCGCCTCTTTTGTCTGGGTGGCCATGGCGCGTTCGGTGCTGAGCGCCGCGGGAGTTGCAGCCCTGCCTGCCTGCTCTCCGACAGCACGAGTAAGCCCACAGAGCTTGCGGAAACGATCCCGAACATTGATATCCACGCGCCACTGGCAGGTTACCTTCTTCGCCCACACATCCGCGAAACGAGTCCCAGCAGTAGAGCGAAGCGAGAGCGAGAGACGCTGATCTGGGGTGGGGTGGGCCTTCGCCATCGCGAAACTCACCGAGTCGGGCCCCGCCCCGCCTCAATCCCCCAGAGGAGCTCCAAAACATCGGCACGCGCAGGGCACAAGGCACAACAACGCTCACGCCCTAGCTCCATGATGCCTCGAACAAAAAAACAACATCACCGTCGTTGTGAATGATGACTGGCGGCGAAGCGACTCTGAGAGCGTGCAGAACAGCCATCAGCTCAGCTCGACCAACGCAGTGGATGGGGCCCTTCATTCCACCTCCACAGACCACCGACACTCCGAAGTCGGCGAGAGCACGCGGATGGGGGGGTGGTCAGGGCGCATGGCAACGACGGCCCAGCCAGTGACGCATGCGTTGGGCACATCATGACCATAGCACGAGCCATCGTCAAACACGACCACTGTGAGTGCCTCGCGCTGGTCCAGATAAAACTGCTCTGGTGCATTTTCGGGCAACTGCGGGAATCCGTCGCATGGAGGCAGAACTCTACTGCCGAGCAACAACGCAAGCTCAGGCGAATTCTTCGGCAACGCGCGGCGAAACGCGCCAGCAGGCTGCATCCTGGCAGAGATCAGCCCGTCGCACTGGAATTGGCGGTGATGCAGCGCGCCAGGGATGTACACGGCAGAGCGGTGACCGAACATATGTTGCCTCGAACATTCTTTGCTCCGTCCATTGCGCCCAATTTGCAGCGGATCGAAGATGGGCCTTTTCTTCGGGCGGCGGCGGCGAGGTGCGACCAAGAAATTGAACAACTGGCTCGGGCAAGATACCTGCCCGAAGCTCATGGCACTGCAAAGTTGTGCTGATCTGCTTCCACTGCTAGGCCTCACGGGCCATGCCAATGAGCCTCTGGAGCCAACGGATACAAAACTTGGCTGGCTGCACAGCGAGGCCCGAGGCGAAGGCCCAGTTTTTTTAAACCATCGACTTGTATGACCAGGCGCGCCAAGGTGGCCAAATAGGCAGAGAAAGGGCCTGAAACGGATTGCCGCAGCCTGCCGCTGTTGGCTTGGGCCCTCTCTTGGGCCTTGCGGGCTCCATGCGCAATTGCATTGCGGGGGGGGGGCTGCTGCTTCCAATCGGCCAACGTGGCGCGGAGCGGTTCCGCGGATGCCTTCACAGTGGGGCCGGCCCGACGCTCCGGGGCAAGGAGGAGGCGGAGGCTGAGCGACGAGGAGCTGGTGGGGTCCTGACTTCCTACCAGCTGAGTTTCAGCAGCTCCTGACCATTGGTGCCTGTGATGCTGCTACCATGTTACCATGCTGGCAACAAGACGGCGTCGCTTGGCTTTGCGCAAGACCCTCAGCCGTCTAGAACGGGCAACTGCAGCAACTAGACGCTCACGCTTCGCGCCTCTACCCAGCCTCCGACCCGACCCGCGGCCCGCCCCAAAATTCCTTTCAATGCGAGAGCCGTGCCCTCCTAGACAACGCAGGCCAGGCCCTGAGGATGTCCTGATACTCGCACTGCTGCCTAGGAAAGGTGTCTTGTCCTTGGTAACTACGGGGTCTACTTGTCAAAAAGAACTGGCGGCCGAGCTCGACCCCTGCTGCTGGCAGCTCTGCCAAGACGCGCTCGGCGCCAAATCTCTGCAAACCGATGCCATCAACCACTGTGGAAAGCGAGACTGAGCGAGCAAACCCGCGCACTCCATCCAACGGCTGCATGGGGGTGAGTTGCAACATCATGGTCGCGAAAACGCAGCCTGGGAGCGCGCTCTGCACTGACGAAGTCGGCTCTGAAACAAAATTACTCATGTCAAGGGCTCGCGGCTGTCGATGGAGACTGATGAGGAGGTGCATGAAACGCATGGGGAACCCTGTGCGCTCTGCGGCGGCCACGAGGTGATGGTGACGAATGAGCTCAAAAGCCTTTATCAGATCAACCCAGCCTTTCACAGATGGAAGGCGGATGATGTTCAGAATGTGGCTCTCGCCTGAGCGCCGCGCACATTTGTTTAAACAAATTGCAAGAGCTTCACGGAATGAGGGCAGGCAGTTTTCAAAATGTGGCTCTCGCCCTAGCGCCGCGCACACTCGTCTTGCACATTCGCAGGGGCAAAAACGAACTGAGGGCGCCGCGCACATTGGATTACTGGAAGACCTTCACGGATTGAGGTGGAGCCTTTTTCAAAATGTGGTTCTCGCCCTAGCGCCGCGAACATTCGCTTTAAACATTTGCGACACTTTCACGGGTTGAGGGCGTTTCGTTTTCACAATGTGGCTCTCGCCCCAGCGTCGCGCACACTCGTTTGGAACAATTGCAAGATATTCAAGGAATGAGGGTGGGCCGTCTTCATAATGTGGCGCTCGCCTTAGCGCCGCGCACATCTGTTTGAACAAATTGCAAGAGCTTCATGGATTTGGCCGTTTTTAAAATGTGGCTCTCGCCTGAGCGCCGCGCAATCGCTTTAAACACCTGCACGAATGTCACTGGTTCTTATGGTTAACGTGCCAGAAGTAACTTTTTGAAACGATGCAGGAATGTCAGGGCGCAATAGTTACGTAGACTCGCGGTGTTGAAGTCCTTGGAACGGTGTTCTGGCGCGACTCAGGATGGCCAAGACGTATCAGTCAAGTTAACTCGTGGCGCTGAGGTCCTGAGAACGGTGTTTTGGCACGCTTCACGATGTTCACACGGTTGTTCCCCAACGGGCACTTCCCGCAGTGGAAGTGACCTCTTGTAGGGGCCGGAGAAGAGGGATCTTGGCGGGAGTGTGTATTTCAACATCGTTGATGGGATTGGGGTTTGCACTGGTTCTCCTCCTCCTCCTCCTCCTCCTCCTCTTCTTACTTCTCACTCCTCCTCCTCCCTCCTCCTCCTCCTCCCCCTGCCTCTTCCTCCCTCCTCCTCCGTCCTCCTCCCTCCTCCTCTTTTCTCCCTCTTCCCTCCTCCCTCATCCCTCCTCCTCCTCATCCCTCCTCCTCCCTCATCCCTCCTCCTCCTCCCTCATCCTCCTCCTCCCTCCTCCTCCTCCTCCTCCTCCTCCTCCCTCATCCTCCTCCTCCTCCCCTCCTCCTCCTCCTCCTCCTCCTCCCTCCTCCTCCTCCTCCTCCTCCTCCTCCTCCTCATCATCCTCCTCCTCCTCCCCCTCCTCCTCCCCCCGGGGTGCGGCTGGTCGCACAAGGGGCTCCGTGCCGCCGGAGGCGGCCGCGCGTCGGAGGGTGCCGCGCGGTGGGGCCGTGAGCCGTGGCGCTCCGGCGGGGCGCTGGGAGGGTAGAGGAAGGCAATACAGTCGGGGCGTTGACCTAAGGAACCCTGAATAAGGAACGAGGCCCCTTTTCTCCACAAGCTGAACTTCGAATTACCTTCGAAAACCTAAGGAAACCCTGAGGCAAGCTGCGAAACACTTAAGGAACGCGGAGCCCCTCCCCAACGAAAAGGGGTCCTTCTTCAGGGCCCCGACGGTAGAGGAAAACCATAAGTGCGCACTCCGACGCCCCCCCAAAGCTCAAAGCTGGCACGCGCGGGGAAGACTGCGGTCGAAGTGCAACTCACCCACCCCACCGCCAACATTGTCCATTGGGGGGGGGGCGCTGGCAGAGGAGTGCGGCATGAGTTTCCGCTGATTTCTTCGGAGACCTGAAACAAGGCAATCGCAGACCAGGGCTTTGCAAACCCTGGCGGGGGAGAAACGACGATGGAGGATGCCTCGGTTTACGGCTGCAGTCTTCTCCCCGGTGCGCCAACGTCCTGGCCCATCCCCGAGGTCCACCGTAGGGAAGACATGGATCTACGACCACAGCGGGCGACCGCATCTTTCTGTAGCATGCTCGGGCCGGATCGAGCCGTGGGGGTCCCAGGGCCCGGACTGAGGCGGCAGGGCCCCGAGTGGCAAAGCTGCGACGAGGGGGTCCCAGGGACTCGGGTCCTGGCCTGCGGGACCAGTGCCCCCCGGACAAGAGGCTGGGACAACGAGGATCGAGGAGGAGGAGGAGCAGGAGGAGGATCGAGAAGGCTCAGGGGCTCGAGGAGGATCGAGAAGGATCCCAGGCCCGCGGAGAAGGAGGAGGCTGGTGGTCGCGGAGCTCCGAGCAGCGCGAAAAAGCCCTGCGTGACAGAAGTCGCGACGCCCAGTGCTCAGGGTCGGTCTGTGTTCCCCTTCTGACGCGTGGGTGCCTCGGGAGGTCGGAGGGGCGCTTTCCGGCGGCAGCCGCAAGCAGCGCCGACGAGCTCCCCAGATCGGCCGCGACTGGAAGGCTTGGCAGTCATGCGCGCCGGGGCATAGCGGGCTCGCAGAGGCGGGCTCGACGATTACGCCGGCACCACCCAAGGAAACTGCTCTATTCCTGGGAGGACGGGGAGTGGAGGAGGGGGAAGGAGACGAGGAAGAGGAGGACGACGACGAAGATGGTGAGGGGGGGGGGGGAGATGGCGAGGACGAGAAAGAAAAAAGGGATGGACGGAGAGGGCGAGGAGGAGGAAGAGGGCAACAACGAAGAGGACTTGGGGCAGGGGGGCGATGATGAGGGGGAACAGCAGCAGTAGGATAAGGGGTAAACGGCGGGCCAGGAGAGATGGGGGGATGAAGGTGAGAGATGGAAACACGAGGAGGGATCTGAATAGGGTGAGAAAGAAAATAATAAGAGACCGAATCCGAGGAGGGAATTGGGGAAGAGGATGCATCATGTGCAAAGAGGAGGAAAGGGAGGACAAACGCGACAAAAACGCGCGCATGCAGATGCTCAGAGGCACTTCGTAGCGAGCGCAAGTACCACTACTTGCTACGCGACCTTGGCGACCTTGGCCGGCTGGATGGAGGCGGAAGCGGCAGAAGTGGGTCCACCTTCGTCGTCCTGGCGAGGGGGGAGTCGCGACGAGTGGGGCGGGCGATCTGAGGAAGGATGAAGAAGAGGCGAAACTAGAGGAAACAAAAACTACATAAACGTAAACTGTTGGCGCTCCGCGCGGATTACTTGGATCTGCGCTGGGCCCCCCTCCCTGGCGTGCGGAGCGCGCCAGGGGCGGCGCCGGAGGCGCCGCCGGGGGGTCCCAGGCGCCGATCCAAGAAATCCGCGTGGAACGCCAAAAAGTTAATGTGTATGGCGTTTTCTCTTCTTCGGGAAACACTATGACAAGGAGGATCGACCGTAGCGGAGGCGGACACTGACATGGAGGGTAAGAGGGGTGAAGAGGAGAAACGTGTGAATGGTAAGATGAAGCCAGGATCGGGGCAAAATTTGACCGGGATAACATGCCCGGTTTTTCACATCACTGGGGGCGCCGCCGAACGGGCCTGCCACGCCTTGGGCGCCATCGGCTTCGCGAGGGAAGAACTGCGCCCCGGCGCGGATGAAGCCACGGCGCGCATTTGGCCACGCACACGCCCGAGGGAATTCAGCGCCAAGCGCCTTTCACTCCAGAAGGCCCGACGTCAACAAAACAAACTTGAGGCCCCGAGGGGGCCCCAAGGAGGCGGACCGCCAAAACAATCACGCAACCAACGCAACGAAAAAACACGAAAATGTCAATAAGCGCGTTGCTCAGTGACCTCGTCGGTTACGCAACACCGCGATAATGCCCAAGAAGGCATTGGAAAACAAGTCCCGCGCGCGGCCAGGCGACTTCCCCGCGCCGCCCCACGGTTCCCGAAGCGCGCCGAAATAACCGTAGAAAACACCCCGGAAAATCTTTGGAAAGTCCCCGCGCCATGCAAGATCCGCCACCGACAATCTCGCGGACACCTAGCGCGTACGCGCGGGCGTCCACCATGGATGCCCAACTCCGGTTTCCGAGACAATCGCGCGCAACCGCCTGGGGGCCTCGGCGACCTCGCGATTGGCCCAGGGGCCCGCGGGCCCCAGGGAATCGAAAACCGGGTTCGCAACTCTGGAAGCATCGGGCGCGGCGCCAGCCAGTCGCTCGTCTCTGGCTGACAGTAGGACGACTGGAGACCCGGTAAAACCTACGGAACCGCTTTTCAGATATTCACAGATCCAGAAGCCGGGGCGCGCCAAATTCTCGCGTCCAAACTTCTATGATAATCTCTGAAATCTCTGGACTAGCGAGCCACCCCGCGTGAAACATTCCCATAAACCCAAAACCTCGATGCTGGCCGAAACTCTCTGAGAGTTTTTCGGCCCGCGAAATTTGGCGCGCCCCGATTTCTGGCTCCGAGATTCTCTGAAATCGCGCTGCGGCGGCGCCCAGCAGGTCCTCGCGCGCCCAGGGTGGGGGCCGTGGACACCGCGGGCCGCGATGGTCCCGACCGCGAGGTCCTTCCTCCTGCCCCTCGACGAGTCCTCGCTCATGGACACGCTCTCTGCGCTGAGCGTGGACCGCGCCATCCGCCAGTACTTCTGCGCGACGACAGCCAACTGGCCGCCGACGGACAAGGCGATTTTTCTCCGAGCTGCGCGTGCCACCGAAAGCGTACAATAGCCCCGGGCTCGGGGAGAAACACTTTCGAAGCATTTTCAGGCCGCCAGCGTCGTGGCTGCCGACCCGCCGCGCGCCTACCGAGAGACTAGCTGGGTCCACTACGTCCACGGCGGCGGGCGGGCGCCCAAGAGAGCTGTCGCCACGGTGCGCGCGGCGGGGCGCCCGCCCAACTGCAACCGCAAATGCGGCCTCCATGGCGCCACAGGCGTAATATGTATGACGCATTCTCGGGCCCCCCATCAGCGCATTGGCCAGCGCCCAAGTCCCTGAAACGCAAACCTACTGTGCTCCCCGTGCAAGCCGCGCACCCGCTCACAATGCTCGTGCACACCAGATTTTCTGCCCGCCCTCAACAGTTTAATTAAGCGCCCATGTGTTACTTGGGCTCCTCAAGCTCTCGAACACTCGTTGGGAACTTCTGCGAATGCGCGCGCTACGCTCCACAAATCGGCGTTCTATTTTTCTCTGGAACTCTCCCAGAATCTCTGGTTCCGATTTGTCCCGATCTTTCGCTCACCTAAAATGGGCTGCCCGATGCTGCGAGCGTTGTAGCCCGAACTGTCGACGTATGTACAATACCACTCCTGCCGCCTTCCGCCGGCCTTGCGGAAGCATCTGCCGCTGGGCCCGCCTCGGGGATCTTCTGACCCGGGTCGATCCAGACCCGGGTCAATCAGGCCCTGCAAGCTCCTGCAAAATCCTGCACCCAGACCCGGGCCAACGCAAAGGATCCTGCAGGATCCTGCACCCGAGCCCGGGCCAGTGCGACCCTGGCCCTGCAAGATCCTGCAGGATCCGGCGCTCTGGCGGACCCCCGTTTGCATGGACCCCCGTCTCTTGCGCCCCGACCCGCCGTCGTTCTGCTCCCGCCGGCCTCTCGTCGGGGCTCGGTTCCTCGCCGCGGGCGAGGCGCGCGGGGGGCGAGGGCCTGTCCGGCGCGCGCCGTGCAGGGAGCACGGCGAGGGCAGCACGTAGCCGATCATAGGAGTAGGCACGTAGAGAGGTAGCGTAGGAGTAGGCACGTAGAGAGCGTAGAGAGCGTAGAGAGCGTAGAGAGCGTAGAGAGGTAGATGCACGTAGAGAACGGAGGAAGGTAGCACGGGGCCGCTCATAGGAATTAGGCGCGTAGGGAGGTGGCACGAGCACAATGGACTCGTGCAGCGATGGGCCAGCAGACGCCAGGAAGGAACGAGCAGGGGAGGAGGAGGCGATAAGGGGGGGTTGGGGCGCGTTGGGGCGGACCAGGAAGGAGAGTACGGGATTGGGCGAGGACGCGAGGGGGAGGGGGGCGGATTGAGAAACATGGGCACACTTGTGGCAAAGTGAAGCATGTGGAGAGGGATGTGGACGAAGGGGGAGCAAAGCAGCAGGAGAGGAAGACATGTCAAATATGCGAGAAGTGCGGGTGTCAGGCGACAGATGTAGTGCAACGGAGGCAACGAGAGAGGCGCGTGTGATACTATAGACAGATGACGAAACCCGATGAGACGTAAATAGAGAGCGGGAGAGAGGGAGGGGCACGGATAGAGAAATAGAGATATATAATACCGGATGAGGTCGCTACATGATGATGGGGGGACGATTAGCACTGGAAGGAATAATGGGTTATATCGATGGATGGTTGAGAACGAAACTGTGAGTAGCGAGGGGGAGATAAAGAGTATGGCAACGGATGGTGCACATGCGGGAAGGAGGGGGTATAGTTCCACTGAAAGAAGACAGGTGGGGACACTGACGAGACGACGATGATGGTGCGCTTGGGGGAAGAGGAAGTCGGTCTGATGCGGGTGAATGTGAGGTTGTGTGCGAAAAAAACACAGGTGTTGATGACGGTGGCTGGAGTCATGAGGAACTTTGCCAGGATAATGAACATCAGGATGGTAATGGGAGGATTGACAGAACATATTGAATAGCAAGAAGGCAGCTAGAAGGGGGAGCACGACGGGTCCGCAAGGGAAGAGGAAGGGGACGATGAACAAGGCGTGACTGGAGAAGGAGGAGGGAGGGAGGAGGAGGGAGGGAGGGCGGGGAGAGAGGAAATTCGCCGGCCCAACGGGCCAGGGCGTGCTAAGATCTCCGGTAACTGGTTAACAGTATTAACAGTATTTCTAGTTCGCGCGCGCGGGGCGGCCCCTGGGGGTCCCCCGGCGAAAAGTACCCCGACCAACGCCCGGTCGCCGCCCGGTCGCCGCCCGACCGCCGCCCGACCGCCGCCCGACCAAGTCTACTCAGAGATGGTTTTCCTTCTGGGTGCGGCCTCTCAGGCTCCCCAGAGCGCGCTCAGAGTGCCCCAAGAGGCCCCCAAGACTGCCCAAGAGGCCCCCGAGACGCCCAAAGAGCGCTCGAAGACGCCGAAGATGACCCCAAGACGGCCCAAAAGGCCCCCAAGACAGCCCAAGAGGCCTCCAAGACGCCCCAAGAGCCTTCCAAGAGGCCTCCGAAGAGAGCCCCAAGAGGCCAAAATCGTTGATTGTCATTGGTTTTTTCGATGTTTTTTGTGTTCTGGCTTTTTCGGCTTCCGGACGCTCCAAGACGGCCCAAGAGGCCCCCAAGACCGCTCCAAGACGGCCCACGAAGCTCCCAAGACGGCGCCGAAACGACCCAAGAGAGCCCTCAAGACGGCCCAAGTGCCGCCCAAGACGGACCAAGAGGCCCCAAGACGGGCCCAAGAGGGACTCAGGAGGGATACCGAGAACTCAAAAATGGAGCCCTCCGTCCCAGAAGGCGCCCAGGAGGTCCCAAAGAGGCCCCAAGAGGCCTCCAAGAGGCCCCAAGATGTCGCCAAGAGGCCCCAGGAGACTCCCAGGAGGCCCAAAAGAAGCCCCAGAAGGCTTCAAACATGTCTCCCAGGCGCCCCCGAACGGCCTCTCAACAGACCCCAAGAGGCCCCCCAAAGAAGCATCTTGACGACGACTCTATTTCGCCCCATCGAGAGACGACCCCCAGGGAACTGCTTCACCATCAAAACTCCCCACGCAACGCGTCCGAACGACACCCGCCCCCAAGAGCGCAACATGGGCAACGAACACACAGACAAAAACCAGCGATGCCATATCACGGGCCGGCGGAATGAGCGAAGCGATTCAATAATGATGAGGGAGGAGGACGAGGCGGGGACGGTGGACGCATAGTGGTGGAAGTGGAGAGCAAACGGGCAATACTAAGCCTGACAAGGATGCTGGTGTGAGGTTGCGGGTGAGGATGATAGAAACGAGGAGGAGAACGAGGATACCGACGCTAACCAGGAGGAGGGCCCACGAAGATAATACAAGGATCAGGAGGAAGATGATACTGGTAGGAGGAGGGAGGCAGATCATGAGGAATTCGTGGTGGGCAGGGGGGGGAGGGGAGGAGGTAGGGAGGTATGTATGAGGAGCGAAGGTGGGGTGTAGGGTGGGGCGATGGCGGGTCGCTGCGGTGACGCTGTCAGGTTTGGGGTGGGCGAACGGGTTGGGTGGTGAGCGGTCGTGGGGTAGAAGCGCGGTCACGGTGAGGCGGGTGGACATAGAGAGCGAGAGAGAGAGAGAGAGATAGAGGGAGAGAGAGAGAGAGAGAGAGAGATGCATGGGATACGATTTCGCTTGAAAGGCCTTGGCTCGTGAAGGCGCGTGGGGCTCGTTCCGCTTCACATTACCTCTTCCCGTCAGGTACCGAAGATTTATGCGCATATGCAAACACACAACCATCTATGTGTGTGTATGTGTGTGTGTGTGTACGGTCGGGCCGCCGAACTGGGAGCGGTAAATACGGAACGACGCCCCGCTTGGATATTAAAAGCGCCTGGATACACGAGAACGGCCAGACGAACAACCGCGGAATGTAAGGAACAACGACCCCCTTCCGAACCCAAAGCGGTCCTTCTTTCGGCGTCTTGGCTGTATCGATCTTGCTTGCTCCCCCCACCCATCCGCCTGTGCTGCTGGATCCTTGGATTCTCTCCGCAACGCCCCGCGCCAGTGTCCTCATCCTTCCCGTCTCCGACCTGCCCTTCTCCTCGTCCTGTCCCTTCCTCGCTGCCGCCGCTGCCGCTGCTGCTGCTTCGGCACGCCCGTCGCACGGTTCGCGCCATCTCGGGCGCACCCCCCCCACTCACGGCACCAGAAGGCGCGTCCGCATGCGGACATCCTCCAAGTTCCCCATCCCCCCGCCCAACGCGACGCTGCTCCACATTCGCTCGGCAGAGGAAACAAAACCAAAGGCACGCCTCCTCGCCCCCTCTGGAAAAGAAGACAAAACCATACAGTGGAGGCCAGTCCGAAAGAAACCTTCCACAAAAACCTAACCCTGAGACCCCAGGACGTTCATCGCTTTCTGGTGCGGGAACGTCACGCCTTCCATCGCAAGACCATCGAAACCCAACAATTACAGGGCACCCTGGAGGCAAGCAGGGTGCTTCTTGGCATGGGTCTCCACTGCATTCACGGCGCAAAGAACAAACAGAGAGGCGCAGAGGCAAGGGGCGGCCGGGCGAAGACGGATACGGGCAGCCACGGAAAGCGAGCGCGCCTGCCACCCAGAGAGGACGGGAACATTAGCCTTAGGTCGGGCATGCCCCCCCCCCCTACAGGCGGGTTTTGGACGAAAAATTACACATAGTCAAAACCTGCTCCAACATAGTCGAATAACAAACATGTAATAAACATCGTTCCCAGACTATTGTTTAACTAGTTTTGAACATTCCTCCTGTAGAGGGACACGCCCGACTTAACATTTGCGGTCTTGGCCCATTACCGAAACCTTGAACCCAACAGTGTTGACCAGAGGCCTCCTAGATGGGGTCGGAGAACATGGGGTCGGGGGATCGCGCTGCACCGCCGATACATCGGCGATGCATCGGCGATGCACCGGCGATGCACCGCCGATGCATCGTCGACGTGGGCGATGCATCGGCGACGCCGCCGTGAGGCAAATCGAGCTCCACATCGAGCCGCATCGGCGATGCATCGGTGATGCGGCGGGCTCCTCCGACCCTGTCTACTCCGACCCCATTTGGCGGCGAGCGAGGGGGTGAAGTGAGAAGGGGAGGGCCTTCTCAGAAGGCTCGGAAGTCCCCCGGCCTTCTAAGCGGTTTCCTATGCCTTCCCGAAGATGCAGAAGGCCGGAGGGCTTCTTAGAAGCCCCACTTCCTTCTGAGAAGGCTTCTCCTCCTCACTTCTCCCCCTCGCTCGCCGCCGAGTCTTTAGAATCAAGAAAGCGGCATAGACACAAGCCTTTGGCGCTCCGCGCGGATTTCTTGGATCCACGCTGGACCCCCTCTCAGGCGCGCGGAGCGCACCAGGGGCGGCGCCGGAGGCGCCGCCAGGAGGGGCCCCAGAGCGGATCCAAGCAATCTAGGGGGCAAACAAGCCTACCTCGCTTTTGACCACCCTCGCTTCCAAGAGATACCAAGCGATGCCAAACTACGGCCTGTACTGGTCAGGCCGCTTGACGAGGAGGCGCGTGTTATGACTTGGTTTTGCCTGGAAGCGAAAGCGAGGTAGGTAATTCACGCTCTGACAATCCGCGCGGAGCCGTAAAAGATGATGTTCATGCTCTTTTTTCTTCTTCGACTCCTGGAGCGCGGGCGCGCCGACCAATCGAGGAGGCCTAAAAATTGACGCCTCCCTTCTGCTCGCGCCGCCTCGCGCGCTGGCTTCCAGGGCGGGCCCGGCGCCGTGCTTCGTGCGCGCCGGCTTCCCCCGCCGAAGGCGAGGGCGCGCCGAGGGCAAGGCCCTGGCTTGGAGCGCCCCCCATTTGCCGACGGTCCTTATAGTTCGCCTCTGCGGTGTCGTCCACCCAGTCGGAGTAGACGTCGACGGCCTCGCAGGGATCGCGGCCCGCCGCTGGGCGGAGAGCAGAGCGTTCGTCTCCGTTCTCGCTTCCGTCGTCGTCGTTGTCCTCCTCCTCCTCCTCCTCTTTCTTTCGCGTCCTCTCCTCCCCCTCCCCTATTCTCTGCTCCTCTACCCCTGTCCCTCGTCCCTCCTCCTCTCCGTCCTCTCTCGCACCTCGTCGTCGTCGTCGCCGGCATCATCCTCCTCCTTCCGCCACGTCTACCACCCTCATCCTGGGAACCTGGCCCCACAAACATGCCAACTCTCGGGCACGGGCATTCCTTCTGCTGCTTCGAGCCCCGAAATCTCCAGGGGGTGTCTGGTGACGGAACCGCGAGGGTCCACTGTATTCTCCTGCACAGGGTGTCTAAAGCTCCGACCACTTCATTTCGGCGTCGCACCGCCCCCGCCGCCCCGCACTCCCCCCCGCGCCTCCACTCACCCACCCACACCAACCACCACCACGCCCCCCGTCCAGTGCTCCGCCCCGACCACTGTACACACCAATCACCACCACCAACAGCGTGACACCGCCCCCCGTCCAGTGCTCTGCCCACCCCGCCCCCGTCCGCCCCGACCACTTTGTACACTAACCACCACCACCACCAGCGTGACACCGCCCCCCCGTCCAGGGCCCTCTCCACCCCGACCCCCTCCGCCCCGACCACTTTATTTCGGCGTCGCACCGCCTCCCGTCCAGTGCCGTTTCTACCCCGCCCCCCTCCGCCCCGACCACTTTATTTCGGCGTCGCACCGCCCCCACCGTCCCGCCCCCACGACCCTTCCCCCGTCCCCAGCCGCCAAGTGCTCTGCACCCCGCCCCCCTCCGCCCCGATTACTTTCTATTTCGGCGTCGCACCGCCCCCACCGTCCTGCCCCCACGACCCTTCCCCCCCCCACTCGCCCAGTGCACCCCGCCCCCCTCCGCCCCGACCACTGTACTTCGGCGTCGCACCGCCCCCATCGTCCCGCCCCCACAGGCCTTCCCCCCTCCCCCCACTCGCCCAGTACACCCCGCCCCCCCTCCGCCACGACCGCCTTCTTCTGGCGGCCACCACCACCAGGCGTCACCCCCTCCGCCACGACCGCTATGCTTCGCACAGCACCGCCCCCACCGCCTTCGCCCTGCCTCCCGGCTCGACCCCCCCCCCCCCGCGCCCCGCACACGCCCGCCCACCACCCACCACCACCAGCGGGACACGCCCGGCTCCTCTGCCCACCTCCTCCCCGGCGTGCCCCCCATCCGCCCTGGCCATGTTTTTTTGGGTTGGCGTCGCTCCGCCCCCACCGTCATGGGGGCCACACGAGCCGCTTGGAGCGATCCTCAGACATCTTGGAGGCCATCTCGGAGATGGATTCCGAGCTGCATTGGGCAACATCGTCTGCCATCTTATGCTGTCTCGAGCCATCCTGGAGGCCATCTCGAAGCATCGGGGGTTCTCTTGGAGCCGTTTTGGGCCAGGTTACGCGTTCTGACCGCTCGGCGCCCCCGTCCCCGAGCCAACAAAAAAAACGGAGAAGAGGGGGAGCCGCGGCGGCACCAAGAGTGCGAGGTGCCTTGAGAGCACCCTCTTTCTTCGCGTGGACGCCTCGCCCTCTCCTGTCCCCGCCGCGGGCACGGCGGTTGCATTCGTTTGCCCCCGGCCGGTTCAGTGCGGAAAAACCCGAGCCCGATAGGGTAGGCATGCCGCCCAGGATTGCCCTGATCACCCCTGCGCACTTCTCCTCCCCCCTCACTCCTTCTGGCCTTCGCCCCAACGCCCACTCATCCCTCCCCTTTTTGACCCTCCCTTCCCGTCCCCTCTTACCTCCCGCGCCGCCGCCGAAGCCGCCGCCGCCGTCGGTCGTCGTCGTCGTCGTCATCGCCGCGTTCGTCGTCAACGTCGTCCTCGTCGTCGTCTGTACTCCTTACGCCGCCGTCCGTCTCCCGTCGTCCGTCTTCCATCATCCGCAGTCCGTCCTCCGTCGTCGTCGCCGCCGCCGCCGTCATCGTCGTCGTCGTCATCGTGGACGTCGTCGCCGCCGCCGCCGTCGTCATCGTGGACGTCGTCCGCCGCCGCCGCCGCCGTCGTCGTCGCCGTCGTCGTCGTTGTCCCGCCAGCGTCGTCGCCGCCGCCGTCGTCGTTGTCGTTGTCGTCGTCGTCGACCGCCGTCGTCGTCGTCGTCGTCGTCGTCGCCGCCGTCGTCGTCGTCGTCGCCGCCGCCGTCGTCGTCGTCGTCGTCGGGGGTGCCGCTCCTGGGCGCTCGGGCACCAGCGAGCGAGGTGGCTCCGGCTGGAAGTCTGTCTATGGGAGAGGACCCTTCTTCGAGAGGCGTGTACACATGTCCGCCGACCCCCAAGAATAGACCCTGCAGGTTCTGTGCGCAAAGGGACTGCCATGGACAAGCGTTCCCAGCACAAGGCCGTGACATTTGGCCATGTGCACCGCGAGCATCCAATGGCTGGGTCTGCTGGGGCCCTACTTGGAGGCTTCCGGGGGAGCCTCGCCAATACCTTTTGGAAGGCTCCCGGGGACCTCTTGGGACCCTCTGTAGGCTTCTTGGGTGTCTGTTGAAGGCCTCTGGGGGGCGTGTTAAAGGTCTTTACCGACCAGCCATAACTGGGGGAGCTGTGGTCCTTACCCCACTGGGGGAACCCATCGCATCGACGATCTCTCGAGAGGGGTTTCGAAATCGATGGGTCCCCCAGGGGGGTAAGGACCACAGCTCCCCCAGTTGTGGCTGGCCTGCTTTGAGGCCATCTCGTGGGGGACGGCCCGTAGAGCCTCCTCGAGTTCGCCCCCTGACGCCCTCGGCCCTCTGTGGGCACTCCTTTTCCGCTTTCTTCTCCCCTCTCTCCCCCCCTCCTCCTCCTCCTCCTCTCCTCCTCCTCCTCTCCTCCTCCTCCTCCTCCCTCCTCCTCCTCCTCCTCCTCCTCCTCCTCCTCCTCCCCCCTCTCATCTGTGAACCATGGCGCGCGCCGCTATTATTCACATACGTATATATATATATATACATATACATATATGTATATATATAGACACACATATATATATATATATATATAACAAGACTGCATTGGCGCTTCGCGCAATGCACCTTGTTCCTTGTAGTTTCGAACGCAGGCGGCGTGCGTGTGCGTGGACATGGGGCGGGCCACCGCCAAGTCGGAATGGGTGAGGAGTTCCTGAGAGGGAGCGACCGGACAACACCAGCTGAGGCCATCTCAGGGCGTTTCGGGGTCCAGAGGCACGAATATGTCTCAGGCGAGTGGTTGGGCTAGCATGAAGCAGGACATCCTCCTGCTCTTTCTCCTCCTCCCCCTTTTCCTCCTCCTCCTCTTTCTCCTCCTCATCCTCATCCTCTTTCTCCTCTCTCCCCCTCTTCCTCTCCTTCTCCTCCTCCTCCTCTCCTCCCTCCTCCTCCTCCTCCTCCTCCTCCTCCTCCTCCTCCTCCTCCTCCTCCTCTTCCTCCACCTCCTACAACACATGGTATTTTCGGCATGCGCGCTGCTGGTCTGCTGGCTTCGAGCCCCAAAAAGGCCCAAGGTTGGCCGAAGAAGGCGCAAAGAGTTGACATTCAAGGAAAGCCCAATGGAAAATCAATGATTTGGGCCTTTTCGCCTTTTCGCTTACGATCGGTTCTTGAGGCGTCAAGATAGCCCCAAGACGGCTCCAAATGAACCCCCAAACGAGCCCCAAAGAGGCCCCAGGCTGGCTCAACAGGGGTCGGTTAGTCGAAAATCAAAGAAACCCAATTAGAAACACAATGCGTTCGGCCTTCTCGCTTTTCCTTTCCGGTTGGCTCGAGAGGCGTCAAGATGACCCCAGGATGGTCTCAGAGAGGCGTAAACCGAGGCCCACAGAGGCCCAAGGTTGGCCGAAGAAGGCCCAAATAATTGAACATCCGTGATAACCCATTGGAAAATCAATGTTTTTGGTCTTCTCGCCTTGTTGCTTCCGATTGGCTCTGGAGGCACCAAGATAGGCCCAGGACGGCTCCAATCGAGTCCCCACACGGGCCCCAAAGAGGGCACAGACTGGCCATAGAGGGCCCGGAGCTTCGAAAATCAATAAACAACAGCCTATTGCAAAAGCAATGTTTTCGGTCTTCTCGCCTTTTCGCTTCCGGTCGGCTCGGGAGGCGTCAAGATAGCCCAAGGGTGGCTCCAGAGAGGCGCAAGCCGAGGCCCACAGAAGCCCAAGGGTGGCAGAAGAAGGCCCAAAGAATTGAAATTGAAAGAAAACCAATTTGAGAATCAATGATCTGGGCCTTCTCGCCTTTTCGCTTACGATCGGCTCCTGAGGCGTCGAGATAGCCCCAGGGCGGCTCCAAATGAGTCACCAAACAAGCCCAAAAGAAGCCCAAGGCTGGCCGAAGAATGCCCAAATAATTGAAAATCTATGAAAACCCATTGGACAAAAAACAATGTTTTTTTGTCTTATCTCCTTTTTGCTTGCGATCCGCTCTTGAGGCGTTGAGATAGCCCCAAGACGGCTCCAAATGAGCCCCAAAACGATCCACAAAGAGGCCTAAGGCTGGCCCAAGAGGGCCCGGAGAGTCGAATATCAGAGAAAACCCAAGGCGCAAGACAGGCCCGATTTTTCGAAATTCGTTTGGGGGAGGGGGGTCGGGGGGGGGGGCGCTCTTTCCGGGGTCCCCAGCCCTATAAAGATGTGTGAATAGGAATAAAAACCGCGAAGGTCCACTGCCAAAACGTCGAATGCCCACTGATAGAACCGTGGGCGGTCTATTGACAGGGCGGAGGACGGCGAGACGTGGCCTGTCTAGGATCAGCCCAGAGTCATGTCAGTGGGGACCCCGCGGTTCTGTCATTGACCACGTTGATGCTGGCACCCCAATTGGTTTCGTGGAAATGAATCGTTGTAGGGGCATGCAGGGAAAGAACCGTTGTAGGGGCCTATGAAGAGGGAGCTTGCAGGGAGGGTTAATTCCAACATCGTTGGTGACTCTTGGGTTTCAACTGGTCCTCCTCCTCCTCCTTCTCCTCCTCTCCCTCCTCCTCCTTCTCTTCCTCCTCCTCCTCCTCCTCTTCTTCCTCCGCCTCCGCGTCCTTGTCCATGTCGTTCCGACATGGACCAGGCGGAGGAGCAAATGGCGGCGCGCATAGGAGGAGAGGGGGAAGGGGGAGGGCTTCTTAGAGGGAGGCTGCTTCTTAGGAGGCGCTCGCCTTACATCTGCAGACGAGGCCCGCGCCTTCTGAGAAGCAAGGGGTGCTTCTAAGAAGCCTTCCCCCCTCCCCCTACCCCCCTCTGCGCGTGGCCGATTTACTCGTGCCCCCCTGCAGCTGGCTGAATCACCAAGAGATCATAAGAGGCTCCCAGGAGGCCCTTCACAGCATGGGGTCCCCAAGTGTTCCCTCTGCCCCTCCCTCTTCCCTCGCACCCAGGACACCGTGGGCCAGGGTTACCCCTGCACTTCCTCTCTGCAGTCCATCCTGGATCCTCTCTCTTGCCCCTGTGCGCTTCCCCCTCCGTCTCCTCCCCGCTGTTCGTCGTCGTCGTCGCCCTCCCTCCTCTGCTCTCATCGGGTCGTCCTTCTGGACGTATGTCGGCTCATCGCTTCGCCTCGTCTCCTGCCCGCTCGTTCTGCAAGGAAGGTGGTACATTATTTCTGGCATTGGCAGCAAAGGCAAGCGCGCCTCGCTAAGGTAATTGATCCGCGACTGGAACGCTGCGTTGCAGACCCGGCACTTCAGGAGCCCGATGTACTCGAGCCGCACCATCTTCACCTCTGTGCGGCGGGGAAGAGGGGTGAACAGGAGATGGCCTGCTTCCATGAATGGTTTTACCAGCCTGGAGCGTATCCCAATCCCTAAGATTGACACGCCAAAAGACGATGACAATCTTAGTGATTCGCCCTCAAAAAAAAAGGAATCCCTAAGATTGGCATCGTGATGAGGAGGTGCCCAGCATAGGGATAGGGATATGTTCAAGGCTGGTGATGAGGACATCCTCCCGCCAAGCCGATGGCCGGCAGGCCAGTCTGCTAAGCGGACGCTGACCTGGCGGAGTAACACGTTGCAACACACACACAAACACACACACGCACTCACGCACGCACACGCACGCACGCACACGCACACACACAAACACAAACACAAACACAAACACAAACACAAACACAAACACACACACACACACATCATTCCTCCGACTTCACCGCTCACGGACTCCGCCGGCAAAGACGCGACGGCTTGCCACAGGGCCAGTCCGCCGTCTCCCGCTTGCGGGGAGTGAAGATGCTTGTGAGCTGATCGGCTGTGACCCCTCCCCCTTCCCCCCCTCCCCAAGGGTTCCGAAATCCCATTGTAGGGCGCCACATGCGAACCCTACCCCTACCCCCCACGATCTCTGAGGGGGAGGGTGGGGTTCACTTCGTCTGGGAGCTCCCGAGCGAAGTGAACCCCACCCTCTCCCGCAGAAGTCGTGGGGGGTAGGGGTAGGGTTCCCATGTGGCCCCCTACATTGGGGAGGGTACGAGCTCCTCAGCGCACCTCCGGGGCACTGAGATGCCCTCCAGGATGGCGCCGGAGGGGCCCAGGGCGCGCCAGGCAGGCCGCAGGAGCGCCCGAGATGGCCTTTCGGACGGCGCGAGGCGCTGAGCGAGGGCCCCAAGGATGAGCCCCAAGAGGAGCCTCAGGAGTCACAAGTCAGAATGTCCCCACAGGCTTCGAGTGAGTTTCGCGTTCTCGCCTTGGCTGGCGTTTGCGGATCCAGAACGGCGCGAGAGGCCCCCAAGCGGGCCCAAGACGGCCCAAAAGGCACCCAGAAGGCCCGTAGACAGCCAAAGAGAGTCCGAAGATGGCCCAATGGGCCCGCAAGTCGGCAAAGAAACCCGCAAGAGGACCCCAAGAGGGGCCCAATGGGGGGAACCCGCAGGGACCCCGAGAGCACCACCCCCCACAAGATCGCCTCCAAGATCCCCAGCATGCCCCCCCAAAGCCCCCCAGAATCCAGCAGAGGGCCCCCCAAAGCCCCCAGGAGCCTTGAAAGGGCTTCAAGGAGGCGGCCCCCTCGGCATCCAAGGGGCCCCCAAGAAGCCCTGCAACAGACGCGGAGAAAGAGGATGACGAATGACACACAGGCAGCACAACGGGAGATGTCAAGCAACACGCGCACACACAACATCGAAAGCCGCACATCTCTTCAGGTGGGGATCGGCAGAATGGCGTAAGCCGCTTGAGTATCTCATCAAGCTGCTTGGAAGATAACGAAACGTGCCCTACCCAAGGTTGCAACCCTGCAATTTCTCATTATGAGTGGCCCCAAAGTTGCCACACAAATGCAATCGAGCGGAGGAGATCGGAAAGCGAGCAAGCTGCCCTGCCTGGTGGCAACTGGACCTCCCTGGCCTATGGTTGGACAAAGAGACCCGGGGCGAATGTGCCAAACAGCGCGTCAAAAGGACCCTGCGTGGTCGACACCCCTCCATCACCGACAGGGGCCTAACCAACGGCAGCACCCAAACCCTGATCCACCTCTCCTCCCCTTAGGTCGGGAATGTCCTCCTACAGGCGGATTTTGGCGAAAAATAAAAGTCAACAAATATTCAAAATAGTAACAAAAATAAGAAAATCGTCCCCAGACTATTTCTCCTATTTTTGAATATTCCTCCTGTAGAGGGACACGCCCGACTTAACGCCACCCCGATCACGCTCTGGAGGCGCAGCCCAACGGAAGCGACGGGCCGCCTTTCCCCAGCGGCGGAGGAGACGCAGAAGCGAAGGGGCAGCTGGGGGCACGGCGAGGCGATGCCATTCGCCATCGCAGGACGGCGCGATCTTTGCCTCAGGAGGCAACTCCTGGGAGCTCTTCTTCGGAAATATTGAGGAGGATTAAGCCCCACTGGGGTCTCTTACGCCGGAGTAGGCCTCGGGTTAAGCGGGATTGCGCCGGATCAAGCGGGGTTAAGCGGGATCGAGCCGTACTAAGCTGGATCTAGCCGGATTAAGGTGGATTTCGGACCAGGGCAAAATCAGAATTTGTCCTCCCAGGAGTTGCATCCGAGTTTTTAGGTACGCCAGCGCTGGCAAGAGCCATCCTGGGCCCAAGGGTCGGTGGGTACGCCTCCCTGGCCAAGCCAAGGTGGGCGTACGGGGCGACCCTGGGCGCAGGGTGGGCCTGGTCAGGGTCGGTGCAATTATATTGAGCAGAATAAAGCTTGAAACCAACTAGGCCGTTGTGCTGCAGAGCGTGGTCCCCCCCTCGGGGCCCTCCCGTGCCAGCGTTGGTGGAGGGCTCGATTCGTGGCCAACGTCCCCGCTGGCTGGTCAACGCCGTCGACGGCCCCGCCGGGAAGCTGTTGTGCGAGTCCGTAGGCGGAGTCGCATTTTCTCTCGCCCCCCGAATGTTGGGCCCCGGGCGTTCGCGAAGGTCGCCAAGAGCGTGGGCTCCCGATCGACGACCACGGAAGGCCACCAAAAAGTTGATACCCCTCAAACGCGACATGGGGCCGAAGAAATATTCACTGGGCCCCATAGGGTGCCAACACAAAGTGTATACCCTCAGAAAGCGCGGCAGCCTGGCCCCGCTGGCAAAAGG